GGAAAAACATGTACTGGGCAGTGGGCCCATGGAGTTTTTTTTTTTATACCTATCCAAGACCCTCATGAACACTTTGATCAATAAATTTTCTGAAGCACCTAGAATTACTCCTCTAATCAACAGTTACTGCCGATCCTGTGTCATTTGTGCCAAGGACAGCTCAGGCAGAAGAGGAAGAGAATTCTAAGCACCTAGCTAACTCTCACTATCTCTTTCAAGAATCCAAGTGACTATATCCAGGTGCCAAAGAGTTGCTGGTTCAAATATGCACTAGTCATAATAGACATTTTGCCAGGATGGCCAGAGGCCTAGTCGGTCATCAATGTGACAACCAAGACCATATACCCAATAGTGCATTGTGAAAGTTGCAGAGATCACTCAGTGGATTCACTGTTCCAGATTCAAGACTCTCTCTGCAACATGGGAAGTAACATTTGTTGATCTTGACAAACTTTTGACTCTAATGGAAAAATTACCTGTTAAAAGACAAAAATAAATTTAAAGATATCAACAAGTAGGTGGTTGATGGCCATAATAATGCCTGACCACCTGCCATCGATGGAAAGCCGAGGACCCCAAAAGGAGACCTCGTGAAGATAAAGAGATCCAAACGCCAAGCTTCCTCAGGATTATTTGCCCATCCTGAGTTTGTGGTGATATTAATATTGACTAAATGATCCGAGTCCACCTACACTGATGTAGCGTAGGACAGGTTTAATACTATGGTGAATAAGCGAATGTGCCCTAGCCAAGGTTATTATGTCCATACACATAAAACATGACAAGGTACTCTTGACACACCACATTCATGCTTCAGAACACAAAGAGGAGCACCCCTCTAAAGGGAAGTTTGATATATATATATATATATATTGATGCCATAGGTGTGCCAAGGGGGGTACCAGATGATTTTGCAGTTAAAGGAAAGTTTGAGTCCATTTTCCAAACCGTCACTGCTAATAATAATATTTTGATTTGCATTTATTATATCTATTGCAACCAACAACGTTTACCTGTCAACATGACTTGTTGTGCCTATACTCCAGATAACACAGGTCCACATGGTAATGTAAGCTTGTCTATTTTATGATGTCCCTCTGAAGAACTAAGAAGACTTTAAGAACCGTTACTTCACAGGGTTTCTGTGCCTTTGGGCTAACACGTCTTCTGATACTAACAAATAAAGTTTATCTTTTAGAATCTAACATTTCATAGGGGGGACTGATGTAGAATTATTAAAATCTTTATTAGAACCTGTATTGAATTATTGTACTAACTCCATTTTAATCTCACACTGTGACAGAACTCTCCATTTTGTTCACCTTACATGACAGTATTCAATATAATGAATAAGAGATTGTATTTTCTCTCTCTAAGGACATAACTAGCCCCGGAGTTAGCGGATCTCCGTTGACTTGCAACATAGTATAATCCAAGGCCAGGAGAACAGCGACTAAATGAAATGTTTTATTCATAAAAGAACCTTGGACCAGACCACGAGACTGACATCACTAACTACGTAAAATGATGCCCAAGCCCCCCCCTTTCCACCGAGTAAGCCTCGTGCTAAAGAGCAATGGCGACGACATCCCATGATGGGAGGGTGCCTCACTAGTCACTCAAATCTCTGAGCCAATTAATAATATTAATGGGTGGACACTGACATAGCCACTTAACATTTAACCCAATTAATGATGTTTATTTGTTATTATCTGATATTCAATGATGATGTCATTTTGCATATAAAAAGGCCTGTGTGCCCGCTTTTTAACTAGATGCTAATAAATTTCCTGAAGTGTTTTTAACCTGAACTGCATGTGTCAGTGTGAACTTACTTCTGCGTATACGCAATTTATTCATCTCAGATTTGGACAGGAACAGATAGACTTTTAAACATTTTTGTTTATTTCTAAATTAATCTACATCACCCTTAGTGCGCAGTGTGTTTCATTTAGAATTCCTCATCTCCTGCTCTGCTAGAGCCTGCAGCAGCCACCAGTGTGTGCTTAAAGGACCACTATAGGCACCCAGACCACTTCAGCTTAATGAAGTGGTTTGGGTGCCAGGTCCAGCTAGGGTTAACCTTTTTTTCTATAAACATAGCAGTTTCAGAGAAACTGCTATGTTTATTTTAAGGTTAATCCAGCCTATAGTGCTTCTCACTGTGATTTTCACCGTGAGAAGACGCCAGCGTCCATAGGAAAGCATTGTGAATGCTTTCCTATGAGACTGGCTCTTGCCGCGCATGCGCATTCAGCCGAGGAGGCGGAGAGCTCCGCGCCCGGCGCTGGAGAAAGAGGTAAGTTTAACCCCTTCCTCACCCTAGAGCCCAGTATGTTTTCCTGGCACTATAGTGGTCCTTTAAAGTTTAATTAACAGAGCAAGACAAAGTAAAAAACACTGTTCTGTAAAATCTTATTGAAAATGAAACTATACAGAAACAGAAGCGATTTAACTCCTAAATGGCAGAAAATTGAGCAGTGACTTTTCTGACCTAATGTCCCTTGTTCCTAGAGCTCCATATTGTTGGTGTGTCTGAGTGTATAACAGAGCTCCACAGCAATAATACTCCCAGTAATGTGTCTGAGTGTATAACAGAGCTCCACAGCAATAATACTCCCTGTAATGTGTCTGAGTGTATAACAGAGCTCCACAGCAATAATACTCCCAGTAATGTGTCTGAGTGTATAACAGAGCCCCAGAGCAATAATACTCCCAGTAATGTGTCTGTAAACTACAATAAATAAAAGTGCCACTCTTTGTCAGTTTGAAATGCTGGGAGTTATTCATTATGCTAAAATTGTTTTGGTGCTACGTGTCCTTTAAATGTCGGGTAACTGTCTCTGACATACACTGATATAGGTCGCTTTGCTCTATATAATTAGCTGGAAGGAATTTCTCAGCAAATCATTATAACATTCTTAAAGGGACACTCCACTTGGTGAGGTGCTTTACAGGTAAGGCGTATCCCACCTCGAGAAAAAATAAATGTATAAAAAGTGAAAGATTTAATAAATTGTTTCCATAATTGCCAAAAATTATATGTAAAAGTGTTGATGTGACTGGAAATGCTGTTAAATGTTGGTAATTCCCTTAACAACTATTGTGTAATTATTCCCAAGGAGCCAGCATGTCAACACCAATCCTGCCTGGGTGTAACCCTGCCACCCATAATCCACAGGGGCCTAACCCTGCCACCCATAATGCACAGGGGCCTAACCCTGCCACCCATAATGCACAGGGGCGTAACCCTACCACCCATAATGCACAGGGGCCTAACCCTGCCACCCATAATGAACAGGGGCCTAACCCTGCCACCCATAATGCACAGGGGCCTAACCCTGCCACCCATAATGCACAGGGGCCTAACCCTGCCACCCATAATGAACAGGGGTATAACCCTGCCACCCATAATGCACAGGGGCCTAACCCTGCCACCCATAATGCACAGGGGCCTAACCCTGCCACCCATAATGAACAGGGGTATAACCCTGCCACCCATAATGCACAGGGGCCTAACCCTGCCACCCATAATGCACAGGGGCCTAACCCTGCCACCCATAATGCCATGTATATAATCAGCTGCTATGAGGGCAGAAGGCAGTCTATTCCTAAATAAAATGCCAGCTGTTTCTGCTGTAAGTAAATGAAACAGACACATTAAAGACTCCGCGCCATTTTACCAGAGTCCTGGCTTTGCGGAGTCTCCAATACAATGGCAGTCACGTCACGTTCCATTTCCCATGAGTCCCTTTGACTGTGACGTAACCGGCCGTTAGCTTCCTTTTCCTGGAGTTCCTGCAGTGCGCCATCCAGGGCGGAAGGTGGCGCTCTCCACATGCACCTACCTACCGTCTGAGGGATCCGGGGCGCTCAATGACGTCAGCAGCAGGCCGTTAGGGCGGTTTGTAGCTCCTCCCCCGCGGATCCCCGGTGGCAGTGACGTGCTAGGTGTGTGGGGCCCATCTAGCTGTAACTTTTATTAATATTAATGTAAAATAATTATAATAATATATCACAGTGTTTATAGACCGAGACACTGGAAATTATTATCCAAATATTTACTATTTACAGAGTGATTAATATTATTATTATATACTGAGTGATTATTATTATTATTATTATTATTATATACTGAGTGATTATTATTATTATTATTATTATTATTATATACTGAGTGATTAATATTATTACATACAGGAAGGTTAATATTAAATGCAGAGTGATTAATATTATTATTATTATATATTATTATTATATACTGAGTGATTATTATTATTACATACAGGAAGGTTAATATTAAATGCAGAGTGATTATTATTATATACAGAGTGATCATATATTATTATATACAGAGTGATTATATAATATTATATACAGAGTGATTAATATTAATATTATTATATACAGAGTGATTATTATTATTATATACTGAGTGATTATTATTATTATTATATATTATTATTATATACTGAGTGATTATTATTTTTACATACAGGAAGGTTAATATTAAATGCAGAGTGATTATTATTATATACAGAGTGATCATATATTATTATTTACAGAGTGATTATATAATATTATATACAGAGTGATTATTATTATATTCAGAGTGATTAATATTACATACAGAGTGATCATATATTATTATACACAGAGTGATTAATATTATATACAGGAAGGTTAATATTATATTCAGAGTGATTAATATTAAATACAGAGTGATTATTATTATTATTATATACAGAGTGATTATTATTATATACAGAGTGATTATATATTATATATAGAGTGATTCATATCTACTGTATACAGAGTGATTAATAAATATAGAAAGGTTAATATTATATACAGAGTGATTATTATTATATACAGAGTGATTCATTTTATATACAGAGTGATTAATATTATATATGGAAAGGTTAATATTATATTATTTTTTTTCGTGGACAGTGTGACTTTCTGATGCCATAATGTACAGTTCAATCCAAGCGCAGAGCATGGCATCAACCACCCATACCCTGTCATCCGACCCTACTTCTTCTACAGGGCCCAGAGGTTCCAGGGAAGTCATGGGGAATGAACAGGCCATGAATTTTACAGCTACTGACTTAAACATAGTGGAAATGACTGAGGTGGAGTATACACAGCTTCAGCAAATCCTTTATTCACACATGGACGCTCAAGCCTCAGAGGGGGAAATGGAGGCCAAGCTTAACTCTTCTTTCTACACAGCCAGCAACTCATCAAGCCTTTCCCAGTATTTATCCTCCAGTGTGAAAAACCAAACCAGCTTCACTACTTCTAGTTCAGGAGGGCCCAGTGTTCACCATGGGATATACCAGTCAGCTCTGGTGTCTGAGAGTAGCATGCTTACTTCCAACCATTCCCTTGGACCCTCAGACTTTAAGGACTTTAAGTCGCTAATGCTGAATGAGTCCCACCTGACTTTGAACCAAGCTGAGAAGACTCCGAGCGAGAATAATAAAGATCCCAAGAGGTTAAGCTTGGCCCGAGTACAGCATTGTGATAATACTGGTGGAACCAATAAAGAAAATGAGAACTTGCTCCAAAATTGTGAAGCCAGGTCTAAATCCACAGTTCGTGTTCGGTTAGAGGACAGATTTAACAGTATGAAGGCTGAAATGCCCAGGTCGCAAGAACTGCAGGAGTCTGGGGTCCCCATGAACAAGTATGTTTGTTTTTCTACATACATAATGCAAGCATGTTATATGATAATGTTTAGCAAAATGTATTTAAAAAGAAACTGTTACGTCTCTGGAAATAGCACCATTTAATGAAATACAGAATATCACCTACCATTGTAGCCGTTACGGAGCCATGAGTCTCCTGGCACTATGCACAATTTGGTAAGTAGTCAATTATTTTCTAATAGTTTGACACTTACCTGGGTATTCTACTTTAGGTATTCAGCCTGCTCTTCCTGAATACCTAAAGCAGAAGATGGATTGCAGTTTCCCCTATTTGGATGTAACTTTAGTGAAATTTGAAATGGACCAGACCGGAAGCACCCAGGAAAGCCAGATAAGTGTCAAAAAGCTTGAAAACTGTTTGCTTAGCGTGGCCAGTTCCAGGGGACTCCAGACACCATGACAACTCAGGGTGCTAGAATGGTTATGGTGCTTAAAAGGACACTAAAGACATCAAAACAACTTTAGCTTAATGAAGCAGTTTTGGTGTGTAGATCAAACCCCTGCAGTCTCACTACTCAATTCTCTGCCATTTAGGAGTTAAATCACTATTGATTCTGTTTATGCAACCCCAGCCACACCTCCTGTGGCTGTTACTGACACAGCCTGCATGAAAACAAAATGGTTTAATTTCCAATCTGATGTAACTTGCTTTCAAAGTTCTTATCTCCTGCTCTGTAAATTGCATTTAAATCACACACAGGAGGCTCCTGCAGGGACTAGCAAGCTATTAACAGAGCAGAAGATAAGACATTCTAAATTAAACAAAATTTGAAATAAAGGAAGTGTAACCATTATATGAATCTTTACAGGAAGTGTTTAGGAAGGCAGTGTCAGTCACATGCAGGGATGTGAGACTAGGACTCCATAAACAAAATTATTTATCTCCTAAATGGCAGAGAATTGAGCAGTAAGACTGCAGGGGCATGATCTATATACCAAACCTGCTTAGTTAAGCTAAAGTTGTTTTGGTGACTATAGTGTCCCTTTCAGAAATCCCAACCTAATATCATATCCCACTCTTTGTAAAAAAAAAAAAAAAATTGATTAAATCCCAACCTCATATACTAATACAGCTAGTGGTATATTCCACTCACGATCCCACTTGACTATAACATTAAACTAACCGTTTACACTTTTTTTTATGTGATTTTCCATTTTCATTTAAATATATTTTAAAGATCTAGCAATTGTCATCACAACCCAGTTTAGTCCTGGCACAGCCAGGGCACACATAGCAGAAGGAAGACTGTTTATATTTACTTTTGCACAAACAAAGTTCAACCACAGAATAAGGCAAATCTGGTAAGAATGATTGACAGAGAGATGGAGGCTGGTGCTTAGTCCGAGGATAGAGTTACGGGGTGGGGGATTTCTACATTTAATTTTACCTTATGTGTGACATATATAATATATGTTATATGTTAAATATAAGGGATAAGGAAACCTAACATTAGAAATCCTGGGAAGTGATAGTCCCCTCCCCGATCACATTTATATTATCGCTTTATTCATCTTTGCGATGACAGTCCTGTGTATTCACAAAAAGTCTATTCAGGTTTACAGAGCCATAATTACACTCCTTCAGAATAGAAACATTTGTTAGATTTAATAATATTGTTACCGGTTCCTCTAATTTTCCTTTCTTACTATATTGGACAGGCTCAGCATTGTTCTGTCCCTTTTCACTTTATATTTGCATTGTTTTTTTGTTTTTTTACATTGAACCAAATGACACACTGTAATTTTTATTTATACAGTTTTATTTTTATTACTGATTCTATAGTAGGTTTTCACTTAAATATATTTTTTGACACATTTGTAACTATTCTGTCCTCTTCTTATTAAATAGTTTGGTGAACCTAATTCGCCACCCTTCGCAACTCATCGGTGTCCAACAGCAGAGCAAGTGTTCCACGCTGGTGAAAAATAAAGCATCACCTGGCACATCTGCACTACCGTTTGCTTACCCAGTGTTCACAAGTGGCAGCAATTCTAGTGGGAATGGAAATAGTTCCCAAAGCCAGGTACGATCCTTTCTGTCTATTAGTTTGCACGGCATTTACACCATCCTAATCTTTGAGGAATGAGTGAGCTGTGTGTCTTCATTTCCAGACCAGTTCCTCTGCAGGCTGCATGAGTTCTTGCCCACTCTCCGAAGTATCCAAACACCAGGAATTATCGATGCCAAGGACATTTTCCTTTTGCTATCAGCAGGAAGTTGAACCGGCTAATCAGACTGTAGGCACGCAAAATAAACACTTACCTGATCAAGTGTGGATAAAAGTGGGAGGTGAGTCTGTGAATTATCCCTTATCACAGTTGCATGTCAATAAATGAAGATGAATGAGATCACCAGATCCTCTAAATCAGATCACGTACCGTATCATCCGTTCTTAGTACAGTAATCTGCTATACTTTGCTGATATATGAGTTTAAACTATAGTTTTGTTTAATATAACAATATCACTTGTTATCTTTATTTTCTAAACAAGCACTCCACAAAAGAAGTCGTGGTCGAATGCGCCAGCTGGACACCAGCGCCGAACAGAACGTGCTTAATGACATACAGAATGTGCTCGACGGTCAAAGCAAGACAACTTCTTTGCCATCCACACAACCAAATGTTAGTGAGTCCACAGTGGGCAGCCAGAAACAATCAGGAACTTCTCAGCGGCGGGAGAAGCATAACCGTATGGAGAGAGATAGACGGTAAGGGAAAAGCTGCAGCTGAATCATCCTTCTTTCTGACTTCAGAAAGTATAACGTTTTAACAAAACTGAAATATAGCAAAATCGCAAAGCAATAATAAGCAGTTTTTTAACGAAGAAACTATATTTATTAAAACTTCCAAGTGATAGGTCTGCTTTTATGATGCTTTATTATTAGAATACTTACTCTTGGATGCTTAACATCGTTTTCTGTTGTATAGAGTGTTTTTTTTTATTTATTAATTTCGTATAACCTTCTCTTTATTCCATGAAATAATGTTTCCATGTGACATTTCGGCATTTGATGGTGCATACATATATCACAGCAAGTCGAAAACCTCTTTGTATTTCACGAGGCTATTTGCTGCTTTGCTTATTCCAGGGCTGAATGAAGCTTGCTGCAGCGTGCCTTCCAGTTTATAAAATGGCTGATTCCAATAAAAATGGTCAGTTCCATAACTGGCAGAAACACTGACTGATTGTCTGTCAATCAGGCAACCAGGAAAGTTTCCATCTGCTTCCATTACCCGCCGAGATAACAGACATGGCAGGTGTGCAGGGCTAGAGTGCTCCTGCCTTTCCCCTTCTTCCCCGGCACAGACCTTGTACTACTTGCCTGTGTGTATAAGGAGACTGGCGTTCTCCCGGCTGATGGTTCATTTGCAGAGAGCATGACATTATAGAATATGCTATTTTATAATATAGTATTTCTTCCATCTTCACTAAGCTATGTAGTGCCCTTTATCTCATTTTAGGTCGCACCGTGGTTACTGCACTTCTTTTCGTTCCCTGATAAGTTTTGTACCCTTATTATTTTTCTTATTCCATAGTGTGCGTGTTTGTAGGGATGTCTTTACTCCCCCTCTGATCAGCAGAGTAATAGTTTGAGCTTGTGTATTGCTTGACTTGTTATATCTCCCTTGTGTCAGCATATATCGCATTGAACACAAAAAATGGACAGCGAGCGTTGTATTTATGTAGGTCCCTAGATGACTCTTATGTTTAAGTTACCCTGTGCCCATTATAGGTGCAGGGTGTGTATTCTTACTTGTTAAAGGTCACTAATGTGTATTCCTGACCCTACAGTGTTAAAATACCATGTTAGCCCCCCAGCCTCCCCATGCCCTACTTAAAAAGGTAGAGAACTCACCTTATTCCAGTGCCGTGTGAGTCTGCCGGCGCTGGCTCCGCCCTCAATCAGCTTTCTTGGCTGAAATCATCAAAACTGACAATTTCAGTCAATCCAATGCTTTAACATAGGAAAGTTCTGACGATCTCAGCCAAGGAGGTGTGCTTAGGGGCAGAGCCAAATAGCACTCTGGCCAATCAGCATCTCCCCAAAGAGATGCACTGAATCCACGCATCTCTGTGTGAAAAGCTTAGTGCCTCCATGCAGAGTGGAGACGCTGAACATAATGCTGTACATTGTGCAGCACTGACATAGATTTTTTTTTTTCTGAAAAGGCAGTTTTTACATAAAAATGCCTGCAGGGCCAAACTATACTCACCAAAACAACTACATTAGGCTGTAGTTGCTCTGGTGACTATAGTGTCCCTTTAAATGTTTTGTCTGCATGGGTGCTATAACCACTTCAAGGAGATGGAATGGTTTAATACTGAATGAAGGGACAGAACCAGGGCACTCCAGGCACTATAACCACTTCAATATGATGGTATTTTTTAAATGGACATTATAAGCATCTCATTGAAGTGGTCTGGGTGCTTTGTCCCTTTTTAGAGAAACTGCAATGATTACATTGCAGGACTAAGACTGCCTCTAGTGGCTGTCAGTTAGACAGCCTCTAGAGGCACTTCCTGCTTGCTAGGCGACTTTTGGTCACCTAACTGAAGCTTGACATGCTCACGCATCAGTAAGATCCCCATAGGAAAGCATTGAAGCATTCCTATGGAGAGGGCATAAGGCGCCTGCTGATCAATGATTAATACTGATATATCCCTTTAACACTGATTGGAGGGACAGCGTCACGGGGACTTCGGACATTATTACCACTTCAATGAGATGGAATGGTTATAGTGCCCCTTTAAATAATCTGCTCTCCTGTCTTGCTGATGCTCTCTACCAGCTAGGTGGATTTGGCTAAGGAGCATGTGTAGAGCCAGCTGTTGGTTGCAACTGTTATAAAAACTACCTGAATAGCAAGACTCAGTAATTTGCATGTTCAGGTAGATTTGCATATTGTGGTTTTTGCAGGCAGGGGACATATTTCTTGTTTGTCATTGTCTTCCCCACCCCTTTATAAATATTGTATTGTTTTATATGAGTGCCTGTATGACTCCCCATATAACTATGCTTTATATATTGGATTTAGTGTAATGTAATGTGGATAGGGGCTAGTCCTGAGTGTAACTAAAGTATTATGTGTTAGTTCATTGGGGACTGTGTGTCCTGTGTGGTTTGTTCAGGAATCCAAATAACAGAGTTTTTGGACCTGTTAGTTGGCTGCGGTGGTCCTTGATCCTGGGGACTAGTTAAGAAAGAGCTAGGCTTAAGAGCCACAAGTGCATTTGTAAAGGCGGATTTAGGTCACAGTGTAGGCAGGGGTGTTGATACCTGCCTGGGATAGGGACAGAAGAAACAAAGGCAGAGGGGATGATACCTGCCTGGAAGGAGAGAGCTGCCACCTAGTCCGGTGGAAGAGCCTCAGAGACCCCAGTCAAGCTCCAGCAACTGTGTCTGAAGTGCTCCACAGTCCCCTGGCTGCAGTGAGGACGCTGACTTGGCAGAGGTACTCAGTGGGAGTACAGGAGCTCTGTCACATCCAGTATATCATCCAATAATTTTTTGTAAGATGATTTCATTAGTATGTATCTCACATCATTCCCCAGCGGATATCTACCAGCTGACAAATTTCATAGCAAATAAAAAAAACTACTGAAATTATGTCTTGAGACCAAACCAAGTCCTCATAAAAGTAATTGGAATAGGAACAAGTTTTACGTAGCACTGAGTAGCCGCTGGTTTCAGTGCTCTTAGAGTTAGGGTTCACAAACGCCCATTTAGGGTATCTTTACAGTAAAGTGTACTGTGCCAGAATATTCCCAGCAGACTTTGGGGGTTAAATTATAGTGAACTGAATGTCAAAATTCAGGCTAAAATAACCGAGTTACGATTAGAGCAGAGTTATCTTTGAGTAGTTATTTTTTTGCCTTTCAATTTTCAATTCGGTGTTTAGTGAATAAACCCCTTTGTCCTTGATAAAATATACTTTGTGTATACTCTGTGTATACCTACCAAAAGAAAAATTGTGTACTTTCTTTTTTTTGCAGGCGCAGAATAAGGGTTTGCTGTGATGAACTGAACAATTTAGTTCCGTTTTGTAATGTTGACACAGATAAAGCCACAACTTTGCAATGGACTACTGCATTTCTGAAATATATCCAGGAGAGACATGGAGAATCCCTCAGAAAGGTAACTGTGTGTGCCTTTAGTGTCAGTACTGGGCCGTATAATACTATCTAACGTTTTCATTAGTGACTGTGTCTGTCCCCAGTACCGGGCCGTATAATACTATCTAAGGCTGTCATTAGTGACTGTGTCTGTCCCCAGTACCGGACCGTATAATACTATCTAACGCTCTCATTAGTGACTGTGTCTGTCCCCAGTACCGGGCTGTATAATACTACCTAAGGCTGTCATTAGTGACTGTGTCTGTCCCCAATACCGGGCCGTATAATACTATCTAAGGCTGTCATTAGTGACTGTGTCTGTCCCCAGTACTGGGCCGTATAATACTATCTAAGGCTCTCATTAGTGACTGTGTATGTCCCCAGTACTGGGCCGTATAATACTATCTAAGGCTCTCATTTGTGACTGTGTCTGTCCCCAATAACGGGCCGTATAATACTATCTAAGGCTCTCATTAGTGACTGTGTCTGTCCCCAATACAGGGCTATATAATACTATCTAAGCCTGTCATTAGTGACTGTGTCTGTCCCCAGTACCGGGCCGTATAATACTACCTAAGGCTGTCATTAGTGACTGTGTCTGTCTCCAGTACCGGGCCGTATAAAACTATCTAAGCCTGTCATTAGTGACTGTGTCTGTCCCCAGTACCGGGCCATATAATACTATCTAAGGCTCTCATTAGTGACTGTGTCTGTCCCCAATACAGGGCTATATAAAACTATCTAAGCCTGTCATTAGTGACTGTGTCTGTCTCCAGTACCGGGCCGTATAAAACTATCTAAGGCTCTCATTAGTGACTGTGTCTGTCCCCAGTACTGGGCCATATAATACTATCTAAGGCTCTCATTAGTGACTGTGTCTGTCCCCAGTACCAGGCTGTATAATACTATCTAAGGTTGTGTATGCCACCAGTACCGGGCCGTATAATACTATCTAAACCTGTCATTAGTGACTGTGTCTGTCCCCAGTACCGGTCGTATAATACTATCTAAGGCTGTCATTAGTGACTGTGTCTATCCCCAGTACCGGGCTGTATAATACTAACCAAGCCTTCATTAGTGACTGTGTCTGTCCCCAGTACCGGGCTGTATAATACTAACTAAGCCTGTCATTAGTGACTCTGTCTGTCCCCAGAACCGGGCTGTATAATACTATCTAAGGCTGTCATTAGTGATTGTGTCTGTCCCCAGTACCGGGCCATATAATACTATCTAAGGCTCTCATTAGTGACTGTGTCTGTCCCCAGTACCAGGCTGTATAATACTATCTAAGGTTGTGTATGCCACCAGTACCGGGCCGTATAATACTATCTAAGCCTGTCATTAGTGACAGTGTCTGTCCCCAGTACCGGTTGTATAATACTATCTAAGGCTGTCATTAGTGACTGTGTCTATCCCCAGTACCGGGCTGTATAATACTATCCAAGGCTCTCATTAGTGATTGTGTCTGTCCCCAGTACCGGGCCGTATAATGCTATCTAAGGCCCCCAGCAAGTATGACACTTTTTATAAATATTCCCATGTTTCCTTTTTTCCTCCTTCAATACATGCTGTGCCAGGACTGAACTGGATTGCTAAACTTTTAATATGCATGTAATAGATAAAGAAGGGTTACATAAAAGCGTTTTAACACAATTTCTGGGTGATTTTCACTGTTTAATCCAGAGAAATGGCAGTTCAGCTCTGATAGGCCTCCATTTCTCGCTGTCTGTTAGTGAGGACTAGAGATGTCGCGAACCGTTCGCGAACTTCCCGCGAACGACTCGCCGCGGACAGTTCGCGGCTCGCTCCGGTCAGCTGACCGGAGCGAGCTGTTCGCGGGAAGTTCGCGAACGGTTCGCGACATCTCTAGTGAGGACGTATCTTGCGTATGCCATGCATACAGTGGAACACAGTCATGAAAATAGATACAACAGTCACCACTGTTAACATTGTACTTACTATCAACATATATACTGTGCATCCTTTTACATTTTACATACAATTTACACCTTAATGTTAAATGGACACTGTAGGTATTGTAACTGCTTCATTTCATTGAAGTGGTTATATTATTATTATTATATATTATTCAGTGTTAAACCATTTATAATGTTTTAATAATAAAGGAGAGCCTGCAGCAGCCCATGCCCTCTATACTGCTTGGGCTAATGAGGAAGTATTAACCTGAGCAGTAATGGGTGGATGTGATTGGCCGAGAGTGTCATCTGACTATCACAGCACCTATTGCTGTTATGAATTGGTATGGCAAGAAGGCAGTGTGTAATCTCTGCCTTAGCCACACCTCCAGTGGGGGTGGAGCTATGGAAAGCCAGGGACAATCATTCAGTGTTAAACTGCTTAAATGGTTTAACACTGAATGGAGGGACAGCGCCAGGGCACTCCAGACACTATAACCACTTCAATGTGATGGAATTTTTTAAATGGACATTATAAGCATCTCATTGAAGTGGTCTGGGTGCTTTGTCCTGCAATGTAAATCATTGCAGTTTTAGAGAAACTGCAATGATTACATTGCAGGATTAAGACTGCCTCTAGTGGTTGTCAGTTAGATTGCCGACTTTTGGTTACCTAACTGAAGCTTGACATGCTCACGCATCAGTTAGATCCCCATAGGAAAGCATTGAAGCCTAAGGCGCCCGCCGCTCATGTGCATTAGCGCCCCACCTCGGATGACGTCAGAGGAGGCTGAGTGCCGACCCAGTGCTAGGGGAGATCAGTGCTGGAATCGGGTGAGTAAAGAGAGGGTTTATTAATCCTTACAGTGCTGGGGGTCAGGGAGGCAAAATGCATGCTGGAAAAACCATCATACATTCTTTCAAGCTCTCTCACAGACACCCTCAGATGTCGCTACACACTTTCTCAGACACGCACTCATGGCCACCGTACTACAACTCACAGTAAATTAGACACTCTCAGACTCTCTTAACCCCTTAAGGACACATGACATGTGTGACAAAGAAGTTTGGTCCTTAAGGGGTTAAAGACACACAGAAGCTCTGATACAATTTCAGACTCTCACAGACACTTTGAAAATACAGACTCACACAGTGACATGATTACGGACTCACACAGACATGCTCAGATAGAATTGCAGCCTGTCACACAGACTCTCATTGTAATACAAATCAATACAGATAATGGGATCTGACGCTTGGCAGTTATCTCTGGCTATTCTATAGGTAGACACTGTGTCAACGGTTTGCCATTATTGGCCCATAATTCCATATTTATAAACCATTCGTATGATGTTGGTATATGAGCTCTCCCATCCACTTTCATGTTCTTTTCCAGCTAATTAATATTTTATAAATGGACACAGAAAGCACTTCTTGTCACAGATGAGAATTTCTCAATTTTAAACACATTTAAACTCTGACTTGACTTGTAGGAATTTGAAAGTGTATTTTGTGGAAAAACAGGAAGACGATTAAAATTGAAGTCATCTGAAGGGTTAAGGGCTGGCCTTGTTCAGGAGATGGCCCAGAGAAGCTCAGCCACAGGTATCCAGTAATCCACAGAGCTTGCAGTCAGTGGAGACGCAGTATGGTCTTTTGGCACAGAAAGTTGCTCATTCCTAATAGATAGACAGAGACTTCACTTCTGCACAAACAATATGTTAATGTCAAATGTCCAAAACGCATTTAGTACAGCTAATGCACATTTCACTTCACCTAAAGCTACTACTGAACACTGCATTAGTTACAGGACCTGATGTGTGTGTGAGGACAATAGTAACCCTTTATTAGGCCAGCCTGCCCTGCAATGGTTTTTGTATAATTTATTTTGTCATATTCGTAGTAGGAAAATGACCGTTACACGTAGTATCCTAGCATCACTTAAATTTTATTGCATTTCTTATAAACAGATGTAATGTTTATTTTATTAACTGAATTATCCATGTCTCGTTTGCTAAATATGCTTTACAATCCCACCTTAAAATGCCGGCTGTTTAAAAGACTGGATCGCAGGGGCCGTAGATCCCCGATGTCATGTATTCCCAGTTATTCAATGACACATTGTATGGTGGCCAGCACCCTTTCAGCTGGCTGTTTGAGGTGTGATTGCGAGCAATATCAAGCGGTTACCAGAAAATATATTCCAAAAAATATGATGTATTTAAAAATATGCTGTTTGTGAAAGTACACAATATATTAACTTTTTTGTTCAAGTGAAATGTTCTTTGTTGTTAATAAATCGCAAATACCTTGAACAATTATCTTTTCTGTGTACGCAAAGTGGCTTTATTCATATTGCAACAAGTTTGTACATACAAGTCACCAAAATAAATACTAATCTCTAATCAGTGATATTCACACGTTTGCAGCCATTTATTTTGTCCAATGGATAGGAATGAGATGTGTTAAAACATGACATTATTAGATCTGTTATTAAAAAAAAAAAAAATCAAAAAATGTCCTTTTTATTTGTACAATGCATTTTACAGTACATCAGCTTTTATTCTGGAAATTTTTTGTTTTAACATTAGATGCGGCTTTTCCTTTTCAAATTAAGAAACACCCACCCCAAAATATATATAAAATAATAACCTAACCCTGATTGGAAATAGCCCTTTTGATTGAAATATACATGAATATTCTATATACACTTACCTCCAGCGAGATTAGAATGCAAGAGGCTTAATTCTCACACTTCAGTGAAATCTAAAAGGACAGCATTGGGAAGGGACACACGGGTGGGGGTGGGGGTGGGGGCGGGAGCACTAACAAAACGCTTTGGTAACATGTGCAAGGAAAGAGAGCAGATGAGGTGGCTAGAAAAGGGTTAACAAATAAAAGAAGATGTTGGGGATAATAGTAAAATTTAACCTCCCTCCACCCCCACACAAAAAAAAAAAAAAAAAAAATAATCAACTTCCAAAATACTTTATATCAGACGCTTTCCGGTTTGATGGAGCTGGCTGGTAGCTGGATATGTCCGCTCCGTATTGGCATGTTTAAAGGGACGCTCTTCCAGGATGTTGTCTTCTCTGTTTTATATGTCCACGTACCACATTAAATATTCAGTTCCTGCTCTTGCGGAGACTTTTAGGACTTCTTAGGGTGGCTAGATTTCCCTGCTGAAACAGCGCCTTGGCAGGCCGATGTATCACATATTCCAGGGGTACCCTGGGCACCTATCGAGCCAGCTCTTCCTGGCTCACCGGGAAAACCAGGCTCACCGTGTGCACCATCCCGGCCATCTCTGCTTGTTCCTGGTACTCCTTGGGCACCTGGAATGTCAAATAAAATCATTTTTCATTCAGAGGGATTGCCCAGAATTCCCTCTTCAGAAATGTGGGCATTGTGAATGGGAAAATAAAACTTTTTTTAAACATGTACTCTTTAAAGTGGAATTCAGTGTACAATAAATATATTTAAAGGCGTACACCCTCTTAGCGACAAAACATTTTTATACAAATCAAAACATATGTACATTGTATAACATAGAACCCAAAGTAAGAACATTATACAATAATTCCTACCATAAATACGATTTTATTTGAAGGGATACTATAGGCACAAAAACAACTAAATTCTGCCATTTAGAAGTTAAATCACTTTGTTTATACGACCCTAGTCACACCTCCCTTCATGTGACTTACACAGCCTTCCTAAACACTTTCTGTAAAGATTCATCTAATGTTTACACTTTCTTTACAGCACAGTGTGTTTAGGTTACAGTATACTATCTCCTGCTGTGTTCATTACCCACTAGAGCCTGCAGCACCTCCTTGTGTGTGATTTAAAGTTCAATTACCACAACAGGAGCTAAGAACTTGTAAAGTAAACACACTGCTCTTTAAGATCTGATTTAAAATAAAACTATTTTTTTCATGTAGGTCGTGTCAGTTACAGCCAGGGGAGGTGTGACTATGGCTGCATAAACAGAAACAAAAGTGATTTAACTGTTAAATGACAGAAAATTGAGCAATAAGACTGCATGGGGCATGATCTATACTAAAACTGCTTCATAGTTGTATTGGTACTTAGAATGTCCTTTTCACATAACTTACACATTGTGTTGGGAAACATTTTTAGCAAATGCAAAATATATGCCAAGTTCTTTCTGTTGGGCTACATGAGATTTTATTCTCTATGTGGTAGGAAGTTTTATTACGCATATAATAGAGAGCAAGTGGTCTGTGGGTTCTCAGTGAATGGGGGGCACACTGTCTGTAGGTTCTCAGTTAATGGGGGGGCATGCTGTTTGTAGGTACTCAGTAAATGGGGGGCACGCTGTCTGTAGGTTCTCAGTGAATGGGGGGGCACGCTGCCTGTAGGTTCTCAGTGAATGGAGGGCACGCTGCCTGTAGGTTCTCAGTGAATGGAGGGCACGCTGCCTGTAGGTTCTCAGTGAATGGAGGGCACGCTGCCTGTAGGTTCTCAGTGAATGGAGGGCACGCTGTCTGTAGGTACTCAGTGAATGGGGGGGCATGCTGTCTGTAGGTTCTCAGTGAATGGAGGGCACGCTGTCTGTAGGTTCTCAGTGAATGGGGGGGAACGCTGTCTGTAGGTTCTCAGTGAATGGGGGGCACGCTATATGTAGGTTCTCAGTGAATGGGGGGGCACACCGTCTACGTTCTCAGTGAATGGGGGGCACGCTGTCTGTAGGTACTCAGTGAATGGGGGGCACGCTGTTTGTAGGTTCTCAGTGAATGGGGGGGAATGCTGTCTGTAGGTTCTCAGTGAATAGGGGGAACGCTGCCTGTAGGTTCTCAGTGAATAGGGGGAACGCTGCCTGTAGGTTCTCAGTGAATGGGGGGCACGCTGTCTGTAGGTTCTCAGTGAATGGGGGGGCACACTGTCTAGGTTCTCAGTGAATAGGAGGGCATGCTGTCTGTAGGTTCTCAGTGAATGGAGGGCACACTGTCTGTAGGTGCTCAGTAAATGGATGACACACTGTCTGTAGGTTCTCAGTGAATGGGGGGGAACGCTGCCTGTAGGTTCTCAGTGAATGGGGGGAACGCTGCCTGTAGGTTCTCAGTGAATGGGGGGGCACACTGTCTAGGTTCTCAGTGAATAGGAGGGCATGCTGTCTGTAGGTTCTCAGTGAATGGGGGGGAACGCTGCCTGTAGGTTCTCAGTGAATGAGGGGAACGCTGTCTGTAGGTTCTCAGTGAATGGGGGGAACACTGCCTGTAGGTTCTCAGCGAATGGGGGGCACGCTGTCTGTAGGTTCTCAGTGAATGGGGGCATGCTGTCTGTACTGTAGGTTCTCGTGCACGTGTCACTTGTGTGTATTTGGGTGGGAGATGTTTTAATGGGCTATTAAGTGATGCCATTTGATGTGTATATTTTGAATGGGAATGTCTGCTTTCTGTTGTGTAGCTGGAGCTTGAATGACAATACCTTGTTCTCCTTGATCTCCAAAAGGTCCATCAATACCTCGTCCAACGGGTCCTTTGTCCCCCTTTTCTCCAGCATCACCTAGAACATGTTAGGAGAGTTTAGGGAGGAAATGACCAAGAACAATCTCACCCATCACTCTAACTTACAGATAAAGAGCGTTAATAGAAATCATCAGGCACTAACCTCTTGTACCAGGATCACCTAAATCTCCAGTTGGTCCTCTGTACCCTGGCGGGCCACGAGACCCAGGATGTCCAACACGACCTTGGGCTCCTTGAGGTCCTGGTGGTCCTGCTGGCCCTGGCCGACCCATCAAACCAGGGGCTAGGGGTCTTCTGAGATTAGCAGCTAATTGTGCAATGTGGTCTGGAAAGAAAGGATAGAGTAAATACACAATATGTACTATAATATATATAAACCCACTGATCCTTACTTTAAAAGGAGTTTATCACACAATCTCCTGTTTGCTTTATAAAACAATAATTTTGCTCAGTGTTTAGTTCATGCCTTTCAACCAAAGTAATTAACTAAAGGGTGAACCATCGAGAAGTCAAACTAAATGCTAAGAGAACTTTTGCCCAAAATAGCAGAACTGAAAGAATTACTAACTTTTTCCAATTCAACTCGTTTTACCTACAATTCATAATTCTTAAAAGTTCTCACATTAGTAAATAAACGTGTATTGATAAAACCGGTGCCTTTGTTAGTTACAGTAACTGACTGGTTTAACCCCTTAAAGGACCACTATAGGCACCAGACCACTTCAGCTTAATGAAGTGGTTTGGGTGCCAGGTCCATCTAGGATTAACCCTTTTTTTAATAAACATAGCAGTTTCAGAGAAACTGCTATGTTTATAATATGGTTAATCCAGCCTCTAGTGGCTGTCTCTTGACAGCCGCTAGAGGCGCTTGCGTGCTTCTCACTGTGAAAATCAGAGTGAGAAGACGCCAGCGTCCATAAATGCTTTCCTATGAACTGGCTGAATGCGCGCTCGGCTCCTGCCGCGCATGCGCATTCAGCCGATGACGTCGCTATGGAGGAGGAGAGCTCCCCATCCAGTGCTGGAGAAAGGTAAGATTTTAGCCCGGCGGGAGGGGGCACCCTCAGGGCACTATAGTGCCAGGAAAACGAGTGTGTTTTCCTGGCACTAAAGTGGTCCTTTAAGGACGCATGATGGAAATATTCCGTCACGATTCCCTTTTATTTCTAAAGTTGTGTCCTTAAGGGGCTAATCGCGTTACTGACATAATAACGTGTGTCCATAAAGAAATGTCATTGTATTCCAGGCACAGACCGAAATAAGACCTACAGCTAAATATACCCATTGCATTATATTCCATGGGAGACATGCTGCACATATAGCTGTAGCATTAGCAGTGGTCCAGGTTTGTCCTAAATTAGGGTTTATTGTGAATTTTTTATGGGTTTAAAAAAAAAAAAAAAGACAGATGTTCATCTGTTTGGTTAAAGGACAAACAGACAGCTGTAATTTATAATTACTTCCTCTAGATAAAATGGCTGTACAGAGTACAGAGGCTCTAACGCAGATATAAAGTATAACCTGCTTCGTGGGGTCCCCCCACCCCAGTATTCTAATTTTTTTTTATCTTTCCTTTTGGTATACAGCCAGCATTGCCCTGTGTAGAATTATTCATTGTTATCTATGGTATTCTGGTTAAAAAAAAAAAAAAAAACAACTAAGAATTAAAACCCGGCAGCTCTTCCCACCATCTGCCTGCCGTAAGCTGGTTTTACTCACCGCTGATCATTCCTCCACATAACTCTCGAATATGCTGCTCACTCGCCAGCTTGCCCTAAGACACACAAAGATAAAGCACTGTATTGATTATATTATTATTATTATCACCATTTAGATAGCATTTTACAATAAAAAATGTAAAACATAAAAAAAGGAGCTTACAATCTAAACAGCTGCGTTATAAAATCTTTAATTTACCTCAATTATTTCTTTGGCAGAAACAGATCATTTTTCAGTGTGCGGGACACCCCCTAAATAACACTACTGGAAGCTTTGTTCTAATAAAGTGTCACCTTGTACACCTAACAAACTATATTGCATCCAAGTGCAAATCTTGGCCTCCCCGGATGGATAGGCTCCTCAATGTCAGACAATCAATAGATACTTTCATCTTTACACAGATTAAGGGAGCAGCGCCCACATCTCTTGGTCGCTTTGTCTAGTTTGGGTTTTGTGGCTGTTTCTTTCATGTCTCATTGAATAAAGCTAGACCGGAAATGATATCGTGCTGGAAATGGATTTAATACTTCTTTTTGTTTCCTGTTCATTTAGTTACAGATTCCACTGGCTTCCCATGTTATGATTCTCTATATCTACGCATTGTGCCTGTGCCGTGTTCATCACTGAAATGCTACCGTTTATGTTGTTATATATAACAAAACGTGTTAATTCTAGGTTTTACAACCCTAATTGTAAATGGATATAGTTTAATCAGCAAATTGCCGGCTGGAATATAACGGCTCATACTTACAGGAACTCCGGCTTTTCCCGTGATTCCTGGTACTCCTTGCTCTCCTTGGAATCCCCTTGGCCCCGGAGGTCCTGGAATGCCTGGAACACCAGCTGTACCATTGGGCCCCACAACCCCTTTAGGACCAGGTTCACCTCTCACACCAGCCTGTTAGGGGGGAGAACAAAACACAGGTACTTCATCAACGTGAAATGGACCCTACTTTCCATAAGGCAGAACTGCCTGGGATCAGGATGAATGGGCAGATTTCCAGAGTAAATTAGCAGATTCTCTAGTAAATGATGAGGTTCTAAGGGTCAAAGGGTGAATGGACAGATTGTCTTCTGTTAAATAATATATAGGGGATCCATCACTCCCCTTTAATTCAAGATAAGAATGGAAAGTGGATAGATTCAGATCAGAAAACAAATAAACCTTTGTATGTGCAGGAAAGTCTTGTCTTACCTCTCCTTTCTGTCCCACAGGGCCAAACGGTCCCTACAACAAAACACAAAGCCGATATAAGGGTGTGGTGACCAGTGGAATTCGTGGAATAAGAACATATTGACCCAGATCATACTTTAAATATCCATAGAATCTGTCCTCTAAAATCCTAGACACATAATCTTACAGGGGCATTGAAGAGTTGGAAATTCTGTGTGAATTCAGAGTAAATTTCAACTTTTAGGACAACATATCTGAATTGGAAAATACTCCAAAAAAAGTTGTTTTCAGTTCAGCTATTTTGCCTTGACGGTTGAAATTCACAACAATTCACACTCCTATGAATAACCCTGTAAATACGGAGATCCGGTATTATAAGTGCAGTCACCCCTGTAGCCCGAGTATTGGAGTGAATTTTAAGTTGGACAAACCCCAACACATGCAACGCAGCTCGGAGCACGGAGTTGGGCAACGTATCTTCATATTAAGGGCCATTCTGCGGAGGGTAGGTACTAAGAGACGATATTTAGGTAATTAGTGGGAAAAAAAGTTTAAATGTTACACCAGAGACAGGAAAATCCAGCGGTATTACACTCACCAACTCTCCTTTCTCGCCTGGAAGTCCGTCTGAGCCACCAAGACCCTAAAACAGAAACACAACTCTATCAGGAAGTTTAAACACACACTGATATTCACTAACCTGAGATGTCACAAATTCAAATGACCAAAATCTGGGAAAATGCTTCAAGATATACATGTTTTCAGTGGCTTAAAATGTAACCATTAGTAAATGACTCTCCCAGGGTGTGGTTAGTTTTAGTCTGTGTTCTTACTGCGGGTTCCTAATTTGCAGGCGATCTCCCCATTTCATCATACTAACTGGCAGCAGGGACGGACACTGCAGTCAACTTAGCCGTGTGCTATCTAAAATACACAGTGTGGGTTACTGCTGCATTCTAATAACCACAACTAACAAGCAATATCTACAGCTGTGTTCTCTACCAGTCTGTCACCACCAGGGGGAAGCATTTTACTCATGGAGATCTGATGGCAGAAGGATCCATATATTGCATGTTGACCTGCAGTAGGGAGTTCTATATTTAGTAAAGTTTACTCCAATAATAAGAGGGAAATTAGACCTGTCTTGTAGACCTCACCTGGTTTCCTTTGGGTCCAGCTGCTCCAACAGGTCCCTGAGAAAAGAGAAAGCCAAGAAGTAATGAAGTTAACAAAGCAAAGTTCAGTAAGTTCCTCCCTCCATGGCTGCTGTGGCCTTTTGATTAATTGCAGACTAATTAGACAATTTGTAGCAGGATTAGAGGCCATTTAGGGTTGTGTTTGGGAATGTTCCTTCATTCCCAGTGTGTTACGACCGATTTCCGGACTTTAGACCTGATTGATGTGGTCAGAACGTCCTCCGTCCTGCTGGATAATCTGCAATTTAATGCTTGGAGGACTTAGATTTACAATTTAGAGTACAGCAGGAGACTGGCCCTTAATCTGTCCATGGTTCATTAGGGATTTGTGCTGATGGGAAGAATTCTGATTAATATGACACATCTGCACAGTGAAGAAACATCGAGAGAGTTACCTAGAACAGAGACTGAGCAATTTCTACACTTTGTATCGGTGCTAATGTCCAGCTCATGGATTGCACAAACCCAGGGTCATTGGATGTTCAGAAAAATGCAGAAAAGGCATTTATTTAGCACAAACGCTAGGAAACATTGATAGCTAATGTAGTGTACAAACAGCATGAATGCTGCGTTAACCATCACTGCTGTAAATTAGGACAGAAAGTAAAGACAATTGTATGCAGCAAAGTGGTTATAATGAGAAGGTAGGACACTGCTTCTGGACAGAAATGTCTAGTGTGACATAGGTACATTAAAACAAAATCACTGGAGCTGAAACAAGTAGGCGTCAGAGGAAACTTTAATTTCCAGTACCCACCAAAGCCAAACAAAATAGAACAGGACTATTAGAAACTAACGTAGTGATTACAACAGGCTAAACTGTGACGTTACATTGTCTATTATTGCAGTCATTAGATCGGCTTGTTTTAGTAGCCATGGGCTACACGTTATATGAGTCTCCATGTGTGATAGCTAGACAATACGGACTGTATTCAGACTGGGATCAAAGCACAGTTTGATCCCACTGAATAAAGACAGATATAACAGCATTTAGAGGGTTTCTGCCCCAAAAGAGAGACACGTGGTATGCACTGATATCAAGGGTCGCTTACACGCTCTCCAAATCCACCACGGATCCCAGTTGGACCTGCTAAGCCAGGGTCTCCGATGCTTCCTTTAATACCCTAAAAATATAAAAGAAAAGGATGCAGGATGTCAAAATATGTCATGTCATGATTATAGAACATATTTTATTACAAAAAAAAATCCAATTAAATATCTACTATGCAGCCCTTAAAGACACTGTGCCCCGTGCCCTGGCCTTCTATCAGCCCGTAAAGAAACTGGGCCCTGCCTTCTATCAGCCTGTAAAGAGACTGCCCCGTGCCCTGGCCTTCTATCAGCCTGTAAAGAGACTGCGCCCCGTGCCCTGACCTATCAGCCTGTAAAGAGACTGTGCCCCATGCCCTTACCTTCTATTAGCCTATAAAGAGACTGTGCCCTGGCATTCTATCAGCCTGTAAATAAACTGTGCCCTGACCTATCAGCCTATAAAGAGACTGTGCCCCGTGCCCTTACCTTCTATTAGCCTATAAAGAGACTGTGCCCTGGCATTCTATCAGCCTGTAAAGAGACTGCGCCCCGTGCCCTGACCTATCAGCCTGTAAAGAGACTGTGCCCCATGCCCTTACCTTCTATTAGCCTATAAAGAGACTGTGCCCTGGCATTCTATCAGCCTGTAAATAAACTGTGCCCTGACCTATCAGCCTATAAAGAGACTGTGCCCCGTGCCCTTACCTTCTATTAGCCTATAAAGAGACTGTGCCCTGGCATTCTATCAGCCTGTAAAGAGACTGCGCCCCGTGCCCTGACCTATCAGCCTGTAAAGAGACTGTGCCCCATGCCCTTACCTTCTATTAGCCTATAAAGAGACTGTGCCCTGGCATTCAACCAGCCTGTAAAGAAACTGTGCCCTGACCTATCAGCCTATAAAGAGACTGTGCCCTGTGCCCTTACCTTCTATTAGCCTATAAAGAGACTGTGCCCTGGCATTCTATCAGCCTGTAAAGAGACTGTGCCCCGTGCCTTGGCCTTCTATCAGCCTGTAAAGAGACTGTGCCCCGTGCCCTGGCCTTCTATCAACCTGTAAAGAGACTGTGCCCCGTGCCCTGGCCTTCTATTAGCCTGTAAAGAGACTGTGCCCCGTGCCCTGGCCTTTTATCAGCCTGTAAAGAGACCGTGCCCCGTGCCCTGGCCTTCTATTAGCCTGTAAAGAGACTGTGCCACGTGCCCTGGTCTTCTATCAGCCTGTAAAGAGACTGTGCCACGTGCCCTGGTCTTCTATCAGCCTGTAAAGAGACTGTGCCCCGTGCCCTGGCCTTCTTTCAGCCTGTAAAGAGACTGTGCCCCGTGCCCTGGCCTTCTATCAGCCTGTAAAGAGACAATGCCCTGTGCCCTGGCCTTCTATCATCCTGTAAAGAGACTGTGCCCCATGCCCTGGCCTTCTATCAGCCTGTAAAGAGACTGTACCCCGTGCCCTGGCCTTTTATTAGTCTGTAAAGAGACTGTGCCCTGCCTTCTATCAACCTGTAAAGAGACTGTGCCCTGTGCCCTGGCCTTCCATCAACCTGTAAAGAGACTGTGCCCCGTGCCCTGGCCTTCTATCAGCCCTTAAAGAGACAAAGCCCCCATAAACTACACATGAAGCTGTGCTTAAGGGGATGGTGTAGGAGTAAGATGCATTAAGACAGACAAGATATATATACAGTTTCCATGGGAACCCGGATAATGAAAGCAGCCCTGCAACATGGATTACACATAACAGCCATCTTTTTACTGTTTCCATTCTGGGAGAAACATGGGCAGTACTGCATGTTTGGCCAGTGGGTGTCTCAGGGCTCTTACTGCTGGCCTGGCTGCTACCTCTCCTCCTTACATACCTGTCCCTGCCCTGTCACTTACCGTACTGCCCTGCTCTGATACAGAGTATAAACTATAATCGGATCAGACGCTGCTCACCACAAATAATGAACTCCACAAAACACTGACCTGAAAGCCTCGCACCCCTGGAACACCGATGGGTCCCTGCAGCCCCACAGATCCCTGGGGAGAGAAAAAATTTGAAAATGTGAGCTTCTCTGATTTACCAATATTCACTGGGAGAGACGCTGTGTGGAGATGGTTTGTCCTTCCTCCAGTAAACTCATTCAGACTTTAGGACGTTCCTTAGAATAGAGCGAGTAATGGGCTGCAGGCTATGTACATCTCCTCTCGTGTAATTAAGAATCCAGTCTAATGCTAATATTGCATCAATACTATTGATTTATATCAGTTTTTAATACCCTGTAACATATTTACTATTACACCCACCATGATACAGTGACGGTAACAGGTCACAGTTTGTACAGCGCTATGATGATGGCGGCTGCATCCTTGGTATAAAGGTGTCCATGTGACTCGTTTACTTTATGAGTGTGCTTTTATAAAAGCACATTATTTCCTGGGACCAGAGTTTGGGGAAGATCATTTGGGTACAGAGAGAAACATAATTAGACACTCAAGGGGTTAATGTGTCAGAAGGCAGTCACTGCCTCCCCCATCTCTGATTAACAATTGTGGACGATATTTTAGTGCATAGCGCTCGGTCTCAAATATATTACTTAAAAGGATGGTTGAAAGCTAGGGTTGCCACCTTATAGGGGAAAAAATACCAGCCATGCTAATTTGCATAAATAATTATATATGCACACCATCACAGGACATGACATCACGTGATCTTACGTAAAATCACAGGCAGCGTCATAAGAGGAAACAAATGGATCAAAACTATTCCCTAAATCACTAAAATACTACTTACAATGTGTGTGCTATGTCTGACAGTGCATGCAGCATTGTGTATGTGTAGGAATGTGTCAGCGTGTATACTGTGTCTAATTGTGTGTGTGTCATTGTGTGTATACTGTGTCTAATTGTGTGTGCATACTGTGTGTGTGTGTGTCATTGTGTATACTATGTGTTCTTGTGTGTGTCATTGTGTGTATACTGTGTCTAATTGTGTGTGTCATTGTGTATACTATGTGTTCTTGTGTGTTTCATTGTGTGTATACTATGTGCTCTTGTGTGTTTCATTGTGTGTATACTATGTGTTCTTGTGTGTTTCATTGTGTGTATACTATGTGCTCTTGTGTGTTTCATTGTGTGTATACTATGTGTTCTTGTGTGTTTCATTGTGTGTATACTATGTGCTCTTGTGTGTTTCATTGTGTGTATACTATGTGTTCTTGTGTGTTTCATTGTGTGTATACTGTGTCTGATTGTGTTTCATTGCGTGTATACTGTGTCTAATTGTGTGTGCATACTTTGAGTGTGTCAGAGTGTATACAGTGCATGTACACTGGGTCTGATTGTGTGTATACTGTGAGTGAGTCATGTATATACTATGTCCGACTGTGTGTGCATCCCTGTGTCCGATTGTGTGTGCATACTGTGAGTGTGTCATGTGAATGCAGCAATGTGTGTACCTGCCGTGTGTAATAGAGGTGGATATTTTAGCTCCATTTTTGTCACAGCTCTCTCCCAGACTCCCGTCAGAGAAAAATACCGGCACCGGCGAGACAGCCTTAAATACCGGCCAGGTGGCAACCCTATTAAAAGTACAGCATATTCTCTTCAAACGTACCGCTCCGCCTCTGGGTCCCGCAACCCCTCTTTCTCCTGGGGGCCCCGCTTCACCCTAAAAGAAAGAGAAAAACAGTGTTGGAGACTGCCCTCAGGGGGGTGAATGTGCAATAATCTCTGTTGTCATGGCGACATACTAATCTAGGTAAATAAGCACTCTCTACACGGGCCAGTTTAACAGTTGGCTACCCTGCACAAAAACGACCAGCCACCCACCTAATTAGAGTGTGAGCTGCCGCAATCAAACCTCATTTTATAAAACACTGGGTGAGAGTTACCAATTTATTGTCTGAAAAGGGCTTCTAGGTGTAGGGCAGTCACCGTGGAAACCAACTAAATGTTCTGGCTGATTTGTCCATATCTACAACAGTCGCTATAGAAACAAATGTTCCTGCTTGTTATTCTGTGTTAGTATTTTACAAACCCCTAGACTAGTTGTTCCAGGCCATGGAGCTGGATGGTAACGGAGCTAAAAAGGGGGAGTTATTAATGCCCCCCACCACGAGCAGGGCCTGGTTGGGGGTTTAAACATCGCTTCTTACTGGCTGTTGGGGGATACATACGGGAATACCTGGCTCTCCCGAAGGTCCTGATTCTCCAAGCTGTCCAGTGGATCCCTGCAGGAGAAACAACGCCGGACAGAATTACACCCCAATGTACAGACACAATATTCCAGTGTTTATATGAGACCGGCTAGCAGACACTTACCAACTGGCCCTTCTCTCCTTTCAGTCCGGCTCTACCTGGAAGCCCCTGTTAGAAGATACACAATAAATGGTTAACAGGAGGAGGAGTAAAACATGTGGAAATTAACCCCCGTAATTAACTCTAAAAACATCAATTCAGGTTGTCGGAAGATGTGTTACACAGAGACTAATACCGTTTAATTTCAGATATAACCCTGCAGATTTACACAAGGAGTGAACAGAAGGGGTCTGTTTACTTTGTTTAGGGTCCATTGATTTATGAACCAAAAGGTGTTATGATGTAACATGCATCCCGCTAGGCAAACAGGTTTACGAAAAGTCATACAGGCTTCTCTACGGACAAACTGGATCAGTACAGTAATATCGGCTGCATTTCAGGGCAGAGGTGTATTTTCTATTATCTAATTTACGTTATACGATTCAAAACAAAATATAAATGTTTGTGTCAGATAACATGGCGGCATTCAATATGGGTGGATATTTGTTCTACAACGAACTGTATGCCACTTTACTCACAGGAAGCCCGTTTGGACCCTTTTCTCCAGGGACTCCCATTCTACCAGCATCACCCTGAAAGACACAAAGCAAAGAGAAGAGTTTATAGAACAGAACTGATCTAGATCACTTCTGGATATATAAGGATTTATCTGGATCACACGTCACTAATCTGCACAAATAATGGATTATCTAGATCACACGGCACTAATCTGGATATGCAATGGCTGATGTAGATCACACGGCACTAATCTGGATATGCAATGGCTGATGTAGATCACACGGCACTAATCTGGATATGCAATGGCGGATGTAGATCACACGGCACTAATCTGGATATGCAATGGCGGATGTAGATCACACGGCACTAATCTGGATATGCAATGGTTGATGTAGATCACACGGCACTAATCTGGATATGCAATGGCTGATGTAGATCACACGGCACTAATCTGGATATGCAATGGCTGATGTAGATCACACGGCACTAATCTGGATATGCAATGGCTGATGTAGATCACACGGCACTAATCTGGATATGCAACGGCTGATGTAGATCACACGTCACTAATCTGGATATGCAATGGCGGATGTAGATCACACGGCACTAATCTGGATATGTAATGGCTGATGTAGATCACACAGCACTAATCTGGACATATGACTGATTTAGATCATACAGCAATAATCTGGACATATAATGACTGATTTAGATCACAGCGCACTAATCTGGATATATAATGTCTGATCTAGATCACACAGAACTAATATGGACATATAATGTCTGATCTAGATCACACATCACTAATCTGGACATATAATGACTGATCTAGATCAAACATCACTAATATGGACATATAATGACTAATCTAAATCACACGGCACTAATCTGGATATATAATGGCTGATGTAGATCACACGGCTAATATTGATATATTTTGGCGTATCTAGACCACACAGCACTAATTTCTGATCTAGGTCAAACATCACTAATCTGGATAATTAATTGCTGGTCTAGATCACACAACACTAGTCTGGATTTATAATGTATTATCTAGATCAGATGGCACTAATCAAGACATATAATGGCTGATCTAGATCACACAACACTAATCTGGGTATATAATGGATGATTTAGATCACACAGCTAATATTGATATATTATGGCTTATCTAGATCACATGTCTATAATTTGTAAATATAATCACTGTTCTAGATCACACAGCACTAACCAGGGCATATAATATCCGATCTAGATCATGCAGCACTAATCTGGACATACAATGGATGATCTAGATCACACGGCTAATATGGATATATTATGGATTATCTAGATATAACAGCACTAATCTGGACATATAAATGACTGATCTAGATCACACTGCACTAATCTGGACAGCAAATGGATTATCTAGATCACATGGCACTAATCTGGACAGTAATGAATTTTCTAGATCACATGACATTTATCTGGACATATAATGAGTTTACACAGCACCAATCAGGACACCAGCACTTATCTGGATATATCATGGATGATCTAGATCACATAGCATTATTCTGGCTAAATACAGCTTGGTCTAGATCACATAGCATTATTCTGGCTAAATACAGCTTGGTCTAGATTACATAGCATTATTCGTGATCAATACAGCTTGGTCTAGATCACATAGCATTATTCTGGCTAAATACAGATTGGTCTAGATCACATAGCATTATTCTGGACAAATACAGGTTGGTCTAAATTACATAGCATTATTCTGGACAAATACAGGTTGGTCTAAATTACATAGCATTATTCTGGACAAATACAGGTTGGTCTAAATTACATAGCATTATTCTGGACAAATACAGCTTGGTCTAGATTACATAGCATTATTCTGGCTAAATACAGCTTGGTCTAGATTACATAGTGTAGCAGATGGCACCAGGCGACCCTACAAAAAATACTGTATAAAGCTGCATACGTGTATCTGCTGTAATTTCTGTGTATTTAAAAAGAATTGTATTCCTCTGATTGTTCGGTAGTTTCATTCCCTTAGTTTATTCGAATGAAACTACCGAACTCGGACACTCGAGTAGGCGAACACCGCTGAGACCTCCACAGCCCTGGTCCGTTCGGTTCCAAACTACCGAACGGTCCCTCGTTCAGTAAATAGAGAATACCGAACGAGGGGATTCAGGCGAACCCTCCCTAGCCTCTATAGCTAGAGGCTTTCGTGTATTTTATTCCCTTATGCCAGGACCGACCGCAAGGCCCATTCACATGGAACCGAATTCGGCTATCTCTGTTCGTGCGGTCGGTCATTTTATTCCCTCCATACTTTTCCCGAACCCCTGGTCCGATCTGGGTGATTTTTGGATATGTTGTTCACCCAGATCAGGGCTATCCGGGGATGTAGGATTTAAAGGGGTACCCCTACGTTTAGGGGTACATCCAGAAACGGGGGGAATTGGTGTGCTGGATAAGGGGATTATGATGCTGGCTGAGGGGAGGGGATGTGTGGGAGGTTACCAGGACAGGATTGGCTACTGTAATAATTACTGTAAATCCCTCCCTTGCATGGGAGCATGCTTTATAAGGAGACTGTGATTAAAGGCTTGTCAGTTATGCTCCTGAAACTGTGTGTCGTCCAGTTATTGGGATTGCTGTTGGGATATTGCTGTATTTTACCTGCTGGAAACCCTGCCTTTGGATTTACTATTTACTTGTTCCTGAGTCTCACTTGGATTATAAGCGGAGATAACCTGGGTAATATTGCATCTCCGCTACACATAGCATTATTCGTGATCAATACAGCTTGGTCTAGATTACATAGCATTATTCGTGATCAATACAGCTTGGTCTAGATTACATAGCATTATTCTGGACAAATACAGCTTGGTCTAGATCACATAGCATTATTCTGGATAAATACAGGTTGGTCTAAATCACATAGCATTATTCTGGACAAATACAGCTTGGTCTAGATCACATAGCATTATTCTGGATAAATACAGGTTGGTCTAAATCACATAGCATTATTCTGGACAAATACAGCTTGGTCTAGATCACATAGCATTATTGTGGATAAATACAGGTTGGTCTAGATTACATAGCATTATTCTGGATCAATACAGCTTGGTCTAGATTACATAGCATTATCCAGGATAAATACAGCTTGGTCTACATTACATAGCATTATTCTGGATAAATACAGGTTGGTCTAGATCACATAGCATTATTCTGGATCAATACAGCTTGGTCTAGATCACATAGCATTATTCTGGATCAATACAGCTTGGTCTAGATTACATAGCATTATTCTGGATCAATACAGCTTGGTCTAGATTACACATTATCGTGGATAAATAAAAGCAAGTCAAAATAATTCAAGGCCACTGAGACACATGTGAACAGTTCTAGTTCCCACTGCATTATTCTAGAGCTATCATTATTGCATAATGTGTCCAGTTCCACTAATTACTTTAATAGAATATAATCTTGGTGATTACTGGGTTCGGTTATTATGTGATACTGAGAACTGAGCTGGTGGATGTAGTGCCCCCTATTCTCTGTATGTAAAGATACAAACTGCCAGGGACCAGAGCCAAACTGGAGCTGCCTCTGTTACAGGAACGCCACTTAGCGCAGTTGGTGGTTACTCAATCACTGATTAGCTCACCATCTGGTAAATTCATTACATCTTTCATATTAAAGGATCACTATAGGGTCAGGAACACAAACATGTATACCCTATAGTGTTAAAACCACCATCAAGCCCCCCTGGCACCCTCATGCCTCCATAAATATAGCACAATCTTACTGTATTCAAGCCTGAAGCTGTAGCTCTGCATGCGGTTTGCCTCAGAAAAACAAACAGTCTGCTGACATCATGAGAAGTGGTAGCCTGATCCAATCACAATGCTTCCCCATAATATTGTCTGAGACTGACAAAGAGGCAGATCAGGGGCAGAGCCAGCATGATTCAAACACAGTCCTGGCCAATCAGAATCTCCTCATAGAGATGAATTGAATCAATGAATCTCTATGAGGAAGGTTCAGTGTCTGCATGCAGAGGGAGGAGATACTGAATGTTTGGATGCATTTTAGGCAGCCATGACCCAGGAAGGATCTCTAACAGCCATCTGAGGAGTGGCCAGTGAAGTTATCACTAGGCTGTAATGTAAACACTGCATTTTCTCTGAAAAGACAGTGTTTACAGTAAAAAGCCTGAAGGTAATGATTCTACTCACCAGAACAAATTCAATAAGCTGTAGTTGTTCTGGTGACTATAGTGTCCCTTTAATTCCCATTATTACCAGGAGTCTTCAACATAAACCTCTGCTCAGCTAAAACCGACTGGGCTCCCTCCAGCCGAGGGGCTGCCTGGAGAATAAAAGTTACACTTTTTGTGAATTCACCGACATCCAGAAGATTGCTTTTCCATGTTAGTTGTTCTCAGGATATGAGTAAGCCAGTATATCCCTAAATCATATTTTTATCTAGATGAGTGCATTGGGAGTTGTTGTCCACAGATTGCCCCCTTTGTTTTGCACTGAAACCCACGGCGAGACACGTCCCCTAGAAGTACCTACTTTCTCACCATCCAGTCCTGGGTTCCCATCTCGTCCATCTTGTCCGGGCATACCCTGGGGAAGAGGAGACAAGGGGATAAGGTGGATAGTGAGGAACAAAAGCTACAGCTCTTTACAATATGCGTTAGAGAACACCAAGAATCGCGAGAAACTACCAGACTCTAACGGAGTGTTAGAAAGACTCCAAATGTGTGTGTACGTCTATCACATGTATCAAGATTATAGTCTACCTATTGTTATATGTGCATGCTCCTAGATGTGCCATATATAGGTATCACACTCTCATGTCGCATTTATCCTGTACTATAAACTATTGTGAATTAGAATCTGGCCACCTACCGGTTCTCCTAAGGGTCCAGCACCTCCTGGCATTCCTTTAGGCCCCGATTTTCCCTGGAAAAAAAAACATTCATGATTTTACAGAGGTTATATAATTTGTATTAACATACACTTTATAAATGTCTCTACAGTACTATAGATTTACAGCACTCATAATGGGCTCATAATACCAATCACAGCACAAATTAACATCTATCTTCCAAGCACACATCATTAACCGCATGCACAGAGCATCTGCCGATGATTACTATAATATAACGCAAGGGCTGTGCACATAATGTGATGTCATAACATATTAAACTCTAGAACACATTACTTTCATCTCATTGAATGGTGAGCAATAAAAGTGTTAAACAGAAAGCGTGGGTAATCAGAAGGGGGATGGCCATCCTTGACCAGAAAACTCACCGTGTCTCCCTTAGGACCCCAGTGTCCCTGAGAACCTCGGACGCCTTGGTCCCCCTACAATGAGAGACAGACGCAGCAATGAGATCTGTGGATGGAAAGGGTTAGTACAGTGCCAAAGTCCCCCTCTCTTCTTGGTCTGTTCATCGTGTCATTGTTTTCAGTACATGTCATGTAAGGCCTACACTGATTGAGTAGACTGGTTTGAATCCCTTAAAATTAACATCTTTTTTGTGATCCCCATGTTAGAAGCAGATGAACTAGAACGCACTGATTAATCTTCCCACCTGTGTTTATCCGTGTTACACTTACATCTCACCATAAGTGCTTATATGTTACCATGAGTGTTTATATCTCTGTATAGGTTCTATGTCATCTTGAGTGTTTATATCTCTGTACGGTGTATGTTTCCATGAAGGTTTATATCTCTGTACAGGGTCTATATCTCCATGAGTGTTTATATCTCTGTACGGGGTCTATGTCACCATGAGTGTTTATATCTCTGTATGGGGTCTATGTCACCACGAGTGTTTATATCTCTGTACGGGGTCTATGTCACCATGAGTGTTTATATCTCTGTATGGGGTCTATGTCACCACGAGTGTTTATATCTCTGTACGGGGTCTATGTCACCATGAGTGTTTATATCTCTGTATGGGGTGTAGGTCACCATGAGTGTTTATATCTCTGTACGGGGTCTATGTCACCATGAGTGTTTATATCTCTGTATGGGGTTTATGTCACCACGAGTGTTTATATCTCTGTACGGGGTCTATGTCACCCCGAGTGTTTATATCTCTGTATGGGGTGTAGGTCACCCTGAGTGTTTATATCTCTGTACGGGGTCTATGTCTCCACAACTGTTTATATCACTGTACGGTGTATGTTTCCATGAATGTTTATATTTCTGTGTAGGTTCTGTGTCACCCTGAGTGTTTATATCTCTGTACGGGGTCTATTTCACCATGAGTGTTTATATCTCTGTACGGGGTCTATGTCACCACGAGTGTTTATATCTCTGTACAGGGTCTTTGTCACCACAAGTTTTTATATCTCTGTATGGGGTCTATATCTCCATGAGTGTTTATATCTCTGTACGGGGTCTATGTCACCACGAGTGTTTATATCTCTATACAGGGTCTATATCTCCATAAGTGTTTATATCTCTGTACGGGGTCTATGTCACCACAAGTGTTTATATCTCTGTACAGGATCTAGATCTCCACGAGTGTTTATATCTCTGTATGGGGTCTATGTCACCACGAGTGTTTATAGCTCTGTACAGGGTTTATGTCAGCACGAGTGTTTATATCTCTGTTCAGGGTTTATGTCACCATGAGTGTTTATATCTCTGTACGGGGTCTCTGTACGGGGTCTATGTCACCACAAGTGTTTATATCTCTGTACAGGATCTAGATCTCCACGAGTGTTTATATCTCTGTATGGGGTCTATGTCACCACGAGTGTTTATAGCTCTGTACAGGGTTTATGTCAGCACGAGTGTTTATATCTCTGTTCAGGGTTTATGTCACCATGAGTGTTTATATCTCTGTACGGGGTCTATGTCACCATGAGTATTTATATCTCTGTATGGGGTCTATGTCACCACGAGTGTTTATAGCTCTGTACAGGGTTTATGTCAGCACGAGTGTTTATATCTCTGTTCAGGGTTTATGTCACCATGAGTGTTTATATCTCTGTACGGGGTCTATGTCACCACGAGTGTTTATATCTCTGTACAGGGTCTATGTCACCATGAGTGTTTATATCTCTGTATGGGGTCTATGTCACCACGGGTGTTTATATCTCTGTATGGGGTCTATGTCACCATGAGTGTTTATATCTCTGTACGGGGTCTGTGTCACCACGAGTGTTTATATCTCTGTACGGGGTCTATGTCACCACGAGTGTTTATATCTCTGTTCGGGCTGTAGGTCACCACGAGTGTTTATATCTCTGTATGGGGTCTATTTCACCACGAGTGTTTATATCTCTGTATGGGGTCTATTTCACCACGAGTGTTTATATCTCTGTATGGGGTCTATGTCACCACGAGTGTTTATATCTCTGTATGGGGTCTATTTCACCACGAGTGTTTATATCTCTGTATGGGGTCTATGTCACCACGAGTGTTTATAGCTCTGTATGGGGTCTATTTCACCACGAGTGTTTATATCTCTGTATGGGGTCTATGTCACCACGAGTGTTTATAGCTCTGTACAGGGTTTATGTCAGCACGAGTGTTTATATCTCTGTTCAGGGTTTATGTCACCATGAGTGTTTATATCTCTGTACGGGGTCTATGTCACCACGAGTGTTTATATCTCTGTACAGGGTCTATGTCACCATGAGTGTTTATATCTCTGTATGGGGTCTATGTCACCACATGAGTGTTTATATCTCTGTATGGGGTCTATGTCACCATGAGTGTTTATATCTCTGTACGGGGTCTGTGTCACCACGAGTGTTTATATCTCTGTACTGTATGGGGTCTATGTCACCACGAGTGTTTATATCTCTGTATGGGGTCTATGTCACCACGAGTGTTTATATCTCTGTATGGGGTCTATTTCACCACGAGTGTTTATATCTCTGTATGGGGTCTATGTCACCACGAGTGTTTATATCTCTGTATGGGGTCTATTTCACCACGAGTGTTTATATCTCTGTATGGGGTCTATGTCACCACGAGTGTTTATATCTCTGTATGGGGTCTATTTCACCACGAGTGTTTATATCTCTGTATGGGGTCTATGTCACCATGAGTGTTTATATCTCTGTACGGGGTCTATGTCACCCCGAGTGTTTATATCTCTGTATGGGGTGTAGGTCACCCTGAGTGTTTATATCTCTGTACGGGGTCTATGTCTCCACAAGTGTTTATATCTCTGTACGGGGTCTATGTCTCCACAACTGTTTATATCACTGTACGGTGTATGTTTCCATGAATGTTTATATTTCTGTGTAGGTTCTGTGTCACCCTGAGTGTTTATATCTCTGTACGGGGTCTATTTCACCATGAGTGTTTATATCTCTGTACGGGGTCTATGTCACCACAAGTTTTTATATCTCTGTACGGGGTCTATATCTCCATGAGTGTTTATATCTCTGTACAGGGTCTATGTCACCACGAGTGTTTATATCTCTGTATGGGGTCTATTTCACCACGAGTGTTTATATCTCTGTATGGGGTCTATTTCACCACGAGTGTTTATATCTCTGTATGGGGTCTATGTCACCATGAGTGTTTATATCTCTGTATGGGGTCTATGTCACCACGAGTGTTTATATCTCTGTATGGGGTCTATTTCACCACGAGTGTTTATATCTCTGTATGGGGTCTATGTCACCATGAGTGTTTATATCTCTGTACGGGGTCTATGTCACCCCGAGTGTTTATATCTCTGTATGGGGTGTAGGTCACCCTGAGTGTTTATATCTCTGTACGGGGTCTATGTCTCCACAAGTGTTTATATCTCTGTACGGGGTCTATGTCTCCACAACTGTTTATATCACTGTACGGTGTATGTTTCCATGAATGTTTATATTTCTGTGTAGGTTCTGTGTCACCCTGAGTGTTTATATCTCTGTACGGGGTCTATGTCACCACGAGTGTTTATATCTCTCTACAGGGTCTTTGTCACCACAAGTTTTTATATCTCTGTATGGGGTCTATATCTCCATGAGTGTTTATATCTCTGTACAGGGTCTATGTCACCACGAGTGTTTATATCTCTATACAGGGTCTATATCTCCATAAGTGTTTATATCTCTGTACGGGGTCTATGTCACCACAAGTGTTTATATCTCTGTACAGGATCTAGATCTCCACGAGTGTTTATATCTCTGTATGTGGTCTATTTCACCATGAGTATTTATATCTCTGTATGGGGTCTATGTCACCACGAGTGTTTATAGCTCTGTACAGGGTTTATGTCAGCACGAGTGTTTATATCTCTGTTCAGGGTTTATGTCACCATGAGTGTTTATATCTCTGTACGGGGTCTATGTCACCACAAGTGTTTATATCTCTGTACAGGGTTTATGTCACCATGAGTGTTTATATCTCTGTACAGGGTCTATGTCACCACGAGTGTTTATATCTCTGTACAGGGTTTATGTCTCCATGAGTGTTTATATCTTTGTACAGGGTCTCTGTCTGTATGCGCGAGATGGAGAAAGTGTCGGTAGGATGGGGAACATGCTTAATTCATACGTACAGCTTTCCCAGGGGGTCCTGGAGGACCCGGGGGACCCCGAAATCCAGTATCTCCCTGAAAACAAACAAAAAACAAACAAACAGGAGATAAATAAAATAGATGAAGTTTGTCACAGACAGAGTAACCAGTGCAAGCCAACAATAAATAATTGAAATCTTATTCTATGTCGCAAACTTTACCTGAATTCAAGAAACTAAGTACCATATGTGCTCCCAAATTCAGAATTGCGTGTACATGTATGTATGTGTGTGTGTGTGTGTAGGGATCGTTTATAAATCAATAAATACAATGAACCACCAGAAACATGACATCCTCTGTGTCCTCTATAATTAGTATCACAACGAAATAGGACATGCTGAAATTAATTACACCTTTTTTTTCATGAGTTATGAGATTGGAGGTAAAGGAAGACAGTTTAGTTTCCCCTTAAAAATGTACCAATGCTGTGAACATATAAACTATGAGTGACACATGCAGAATGATTCACACATGCAAAAATTCATTTTTTTTTGTGTACATTATCTTTTATTTTCTATGGGAATACCTGTGAGTTTTCATTCTTATGTAAAAAGCTTTTAGACCTGTGTTATACAACCGGCGGAGGAACTACTGAAATACTGTTTTGTTGACCAGGGAACTGACTCTCTATGAACAATTATGCACATCTCAATAACCGAGAATTTATGCAATTCTACGACTCTTTAGACAGTATTCTACTTCTCCCTACACATTCCGCTAACACAACGGGACTGGAAGTTTATATACAATAGGGCCATCCTATCCTCCGCTAGCCTCTGTGTGCAAGAGGTCTCCTGTAAATTAATCTCTAGGTAGTACAGAACACCCTCACTATTACACTCTTTGTATCCCTCAGTTACCGAAAAATGTTGGAGATGTCAGGACGCAGATGGTACTATAAAACATATTTGGTGGTTCTGTGCAGCAATAAAATCTTTCTGGGTCTGGGTTCTGGGTTTTATAAATATTCTCTCATGCTGCCTCAAGTGTTCTTGGGTTGGCCTAAGGTATCTCCAATTACATGCAAGCACTATTTTGGCTTCTGACTGGAGCAGCCAAATCTCTTATCCCCTCTTGCTGGAAACTCCTTGATCCTCCCAGCTTCGAACATTGGGTAGCCGAGGTGGAATCGCTTAGACCCCCAGGGGAGTTACACTGGTCATCCTTTGGCAAGCAACATAGATACTCCAAGGTTTGGGAGCTGTGATGTGAGTGAGATATTTTGATACTCACTTTTGACGTGACACCACTTACCCTGTCTCCTGCGGGCCCCTGTGGTCCAACTTCACCCCTCAAACCTCTTGGACCCTGAAAACAAAACATGATATTAGGGAGTGTTAGGTGGCATTACTGGAATGGCTAGCGTTAAGAGATAATATTTCGAACTATCTTACAGCTATCTGGACTTAGTAGCCAGTGTCAAGGACAGTAATTTAATACTTCTGAAAATACATTGACAGGGTGGTCGGAAAATGGAATCACCGTCCAGTAGAAGTGGCAAAGATTAATACAGGAGGCGATTTTACCGTGTGTGGAAAGGATACAGCTTTACTGCTATAAAAAGGTGGTGGGTACATGGAATGATCTCCCAGCAGTATTGAGAGAGAACAATGAATGAAATATTGGAAGCTTTATAATTGGTCCATCTGTTGTTAGAGCATATATTTCATTATAATAATGTTTAAGAGTGTAAGCTCTGCATGTCAGGGATGCATAGAGCTGTGTGTGTTTACCTGTAAGCCAACGCTGCCTGGGATTCCAGCAGGTCCTGGGGGCCCAGGATCACCCTGAACATACAAAGATTACAATTAGAAAAAACGAGTAACTGATCTTTGGATAAATAGCTCATTCACTGCTCGGAGATTGTGGTAAATGGAGAATATAAACATAGCACAATGTTTGTATATCCAGACTAACTTCCCCCATTACCATTTATACCATATTACAGAACAATCCCCCCATTATACAACATCTAGTTTGTATATATTCCTGGAACTACAACACACGGCTGAACACAGCAACATTTCTGGAAAGGAGAAGGGGATGTATAGATTTAGGGTGTGAATTGTGGGGAGTGGGGGGGGTGTATAGATTTAGGATGTGAATTGTAGGAAGCAGGGGGTGTATAGATATAGGGTGTAAATTGCAGGGGTGTATAGATTTAGGGTGCGAATTATAGTAAGCAGGGGTGGTTAGATTTAGGGTGTGAATTACGGGAGCAGGGGGGGTATAGATTTAGTGTGTGAATTGCGGGAGCAGGGGTGTATAGATTTAGGGAATTAAGGGAGCAGGGTGTATAGACTCAGTGAATTATGGAGCAGGGGGGGTGTATAGATTTAGGCGTGTGAATGTCTGCGGAGCAGGTAGATTAGGGTGTGAATTATGTGAGCAGGTGAATAGGATTTAGGGTGTGAATTAAGGGAAGCAGGGCGCATAGACAGGGTGAAATTCCCTTTGCGGGAGCAGGTGTATATCAGTGTGAATTATGTGGGAGCAGGGGTGTATAGATTTAGTGTGTGAATTGCGGGAGCAGGGGTGTATAGATTTAGTGTGTGAATTGCGGGAGCAGGGGTGAATAGATTTAGGGTGTGAATTATGGGAGCAGGGGTGAATAGATTTAGGGTGTGAATTACAGGAAGCAGGGGGTGTATAGATTTAGGGTGTGAATTGCGGGAGCAGAGGTTGATAGATTTAGGGTGTGAATTGCGGGAGCAGGGGGTGTATAGATTTAGGGTGTGAATTACAGGGAAGCAGGGGGTATATAGATTTAGGATTTGAATTGCAAGAGCAGGTGTATAGATTTAGGGTGTGAATTGCAGAAAGCAGGGTGGTAGATTTAGGGTCTGAATTATGGAAGCAGGGGTGTATAAATTTAGTGTGTGAATTGCGGGAGCAGGGGTGTATAGATTTAGTGAATTGCAGGAGATGGGGTGTATAGATTTAGGTGTAAATTACAGGAAGCAGAGGGTGTATATAGATTTAGTGTAAATTACAGGAAGCAGGGGGTGTATAGATTTTAGGGTGTGAATTACAGGAAGCAGGGGTGTTAGATTTAGGGTGGAATTGTGGGAGCAGGGGTGTAGGATTTAGGGGTGTGAACTAGGGAGCAGGGGTGTCTAGATTTAGGGTGTGAACTGCAGGAGCAGGGGTGTAGGATTTAGGGTGTGATTTGCAGGAGCAGGGGGTTTATAGATTTAGGGTGTGAATTTGGAAGCAGGGGGTGTATAGATTTAGGGTGAATTACAGGAAGCAGGGGGTGTATAGATTTAGGGTGAATTTGCAGAAAGCAGGGGTATAGATTTAGGAATTGGAGCTGGGGTGTATAGATTTAGGTGTGGAATTGGTGTTGCAGGGGGTGTATAGATTTAGGGTGTGAATTACAGGAAGCAGGGGGTGTATAGATTTAGGGTGTGAATTGCGGGAGCAGGGGTGTATAGATTTAGGGTGTGAATTGCAGGAAGCAGGGGGTGTATAGATTTAGGGTGTGAATTGCGGGAGCAGGGGTGTAAAGATTTAGGGTGTAAATTGCGGGAGCAGGGGTGTATAGATTTAGGGTGTGAATTGCGGGAGCAGGGGTGTAAAGATTTAGGGTGTAAATTGCGGGAGCAGGGGTGTAAAGATTTAGGGTGTGAATTGCGGGAGCTGGGGTGTAAAGATTTAGGGTGTGAATTGCGGGAGCTGGGGTGTATAGATTTAGGGTGTGAATTACAGGAAGCAGGGGTGTATAGATTTAGGGTGTGAATTGCGGGAGCTGGGGTGTATAGATTTAGGGTGTGAATTACAGGAAGCTGGGGTGGATAGATTTAGGGTGTGAATTACAGGAAGCAGGGGGTGTATAGATTTAGGGTGTGAATTGCGGGAGCTGGGGTGTATAGATTTAGGGTGTGAATTACAGGAAGCAGGGGGTGTATAGATTTAGGGTGTGAATTGAGGGAGCTGGGGTGTATAGATTTAGGGTGTGAATTGCGGGAGCAGGAGTGTATAGATTTAGGGTGGGAATCAGAGGAAGCAGGGGGTGTATAGATTTAGGGTGTGAATTACAGGAAGCAGGGGGTGTATAGATTTAGGAATGACTCCACAGACTCACCTTCTGCCCATCTTTCCCAGTCTCCCCTCGTTCTCCTTTGTGCCCTGTGTGACCCTGGAAAAGAGAGATCAGTGTGAACACAATATGCAGGACACACATAAGTTAGTCTATTGGTTTTTATTGCTTTCCACCAACGCTGTGTATCACTACAACTACATTCTGTACAAGTGCTACCCACACCTGTGTTGTGAAAGGTATATCGAATAGAATAGATTCTTTACACCTCTATTATAATGGATAATGGATTTCTTATCGCAGTTAGTCCGCTCCATCTTCTGTGCAGTGAATTTCACACAACAACAGAGTAATAGCAGATCTCAGGATATACGACATCATTGGACAGAACGAATAACTAACCATTAAATGTAACCAATCTCTAACAGGAAGACATGACAGATTACAGCGACCATCATCGTAATCCATTAGATCGCCTCCCATCCTGGTGTAAGGAATACGATTAATGCAGCAGATCACAAGCTGGATCATAATGGATGGGCTCACGTTCGCGTCATCATCACTAGCGGTTAAATATAATAAGGAAACATTTGGCACTTTACCTTAAATCCTGGCATTCCAGGAGGTCCGGGGGGTCCAGGCGGGCACACAGCCGGGCACTGCAGGAAGAAGACACAGTTATTCGTTCGGTGATAGGGGTAATATTTCTAGGCTAAAGCAAAGGATTCAGAGCTTGGAAGAAAGAGACAAACGATGTACACTAGGAGTACTGTAAAATCAATAAAATGTCACTTATAGTTATTTAATAACTCAACCTCAATTAATCACTATGCGTCTAAATTAGTGAATTGTGTGTGAAATAATGTGACGATAAAATATTTCCAACAATAAAGATACAGATAAAATATAACTCCCAAATTTCAAGGACAACAAAGCCCGTTATTAAAGAAAAGAGAATTATATGGTTCAAAGGATGGAGATTGTAAGGAATGCTGTATTTCTGTTTAAAATGCTTAAAAAATAAGTTTTCAATTCGGTATCGGATGGATCACAAATGGTGAACTGATTGTACTTATTAACACAATCTTCCAGTCAGAAGATGGGTGTGCGAGCTGTGTTGCCGCTTGGGGCACCATTGTAACCGAGTGTCAGGACATCTCTCTTATCTCTACAATGTGTGATTTGGAAAGGGAGGCGCTGTGAAGGTAAATATATGGTGTACTATATGTACTCTGAAAACCAGATGCAATGCTGCATGATTTGTAAGGGAAGCACTGCAGAACACCCCATTCCTGTCTGGGAAAGTCCCCCGTTATTGCTAATGGTTGTACATGACTGTCCATATCTGACAAGGGCAGAGATTTTATCTGACATCTCCCCCACCATAGCAAGTCAATGAATGTTTGATTGGACAAGCTGGAATTATCACGGCCCTTGGCCCCAACATCAATAACAAAACAAACTCAACTTTCTGCTATCTCCATAGAGAGAATGTAGAAACAAGTATTTGATCCCCTGCTGATTTTTAATGTTTGTCCATGACAAAGAAATGATCAGTCTATAATTTTAATGGTAGGTGTTGTAGCGGAACGCCAATATTAAATCCACGAATTCCGCTGGTTCAGGAAATAATACACAGTCAAGCGCTGAAACAACAAGGCAATATCCCCAACCTCCCAGTAACCGGACGAGACACAGTTCTGAGAGTCCTTTAATTCGGCTGCACAATTTATACAAGTCCCCATGCAAGGGGTTTCCTGAGTCCCTTCCCAGGGGCACTCCCAGAGGGGACTACATGGGGGACTTACATTACAGCATATTTCTCCCATCAGGCACTGCTGCACGAGAGGGGTCCTCCTCCCAGAACCCACCGTTAAGTGGATTATCCCCTCGTGCAGCAGAACCGACAATTTACACAAAAATCCATAACTTGGTGAATGTACGGTGGATTTACACGAATGGACGTTCGGTAGATAGCTGGGGTCTGAGTGCCTCATTCGTGAGATTACCGCTCAGATCCCAGCTAAAATAACCGAACGCCGCACGAAAAACACCTTTCTTATAACACATATAAAAAGAACCGATTGCTTTTAGGGAACAAAATACCGAATGGCCCGAAACTCCCGAACGTCCTGGAGGCTCAGCGGTGTTCATGCCGTCGAGTAGCCGTTTTTAGTACCATGCGCTCGACAACCTAGCACCGCTGAGGGAACAAAGGATCCAAGATGGCCGACCGCCGCATGGTCGGTAGTCGAACGACGGCCACCCAGGAGAGCCTCTAATTACCGATTGCAACATTGTTGCAATCGGTTAACCAGCGCCACACGCCTCTAAGTGTGTGGGCTATTAGGGGTATTACGTTCGGGTCACGAACGGCCCTCCAAAGTGCCGTTCGTGAAACGAAAGAAAATCCCCATACAAACCGCCATTTGCATTCGGCAGATGGCAAATACAGGCAATCCAGACAATACATGTAGCATACAACATACAGAGTAAAGCACATATCTCCCCAGACCTATAGGCAACCCTTAAAGATATAGTCTCTGATTATAGTCCAAGTGGCTAGGTTTGCCACAATGCTCCCCCAGAACCAAGCCGGCATACACAGTCTGATCCTAACGGATCGGCTTGGGGATGTCCGGAGGAGCGCTCACAGATCACTTCTCAAGGTCTGTTTGTCTGGATAACCCGTCGGCGTTACCATTTTGTTTCCCTGGGCGATAATGGATCGTAAGTCAAAGGGCTGCAGTGCCAAACTCCAGCGCAGCAGCCTGGCATTGTCCCCAGCCACACGGTTTAGCCATACCAACGGGCTGTGATCTGTGAGCAAAGAAAAGGGTTGCCCATAGAGATATGGCTGTAACTTTTTCAGGGCCCACACCACGGCCAGGCATTCTTTTTCTATGGCGGCGTAGCTCACTTCTCGGGGTAACAATTTCCGACTCAAATATGCTACGGGATGTTCTCCGCCATCTGCTCCGACCTGGCTCAGTACTGCTCCCAATCCAAACATGGAGGCGTCTGTGTGGACAAGAAAACGTTTAGTTGGATCAGGAGCAGCCAGTACAGAGGCATTGGTCAGAGCCGTCTTCAGTTGGTTGAATGCCTGTTCACACTCTGGGGCCCAGATGACCTGCCTGGGCAGGTTTCTCTTCGTTAAGTCAGTCAGGGGTTTGGCCAGGGCACTGTAATTGGGCACAAATTTTCTATAATACCCGGCGGTACCTAAAAAAGCAAGGACTTGGGTTTTGGTCCTAGGGGTAGGCCACTGGGCTACAGCTTCAATCTTTGCGGTCTCAGGCTTCTGTTGCCCGCTACCGACCCGGTGCCCTAAGTATTGGACCTCTGCCATCCCTATGTGGCATTTGCTTGGCTTCAGGGTAAGCCCTGCCTCCCGGATCCGATCTATTACAGCCCCTATATGTTGTAGGTGGTCCGACCAGGTCTGACTGTAGATGGCAATATCATCCAGGTATGCACACGCATAATCCTGGAACCCGTCCAGTAGCCGATCCACCATCCGCTGGAAGGTCGCGGGGGCGTTCTTCATCCCGAATGGCATGACTCGAAATTGGTACAAGCCAAACGGGGTGACAAACGCCGACTTGGGAATGGCGTCTTCGGCTAGTGGAATTTGCCAGTATCCCTTACAAAGATCTATTGTAGTGAGATACTGACCCCTGGCCATCCTATCTAGCAGTTCGTCTATCCGAGGCATCGGGTAGGCGTCCGACACGGTTTTGTCGTTCAACCTCCGGTAGTCCACGCAGAACCGAGTGGTACCGTCTTTCTTGGGAACCAAGACTACCGGCGATGCCCAGGGGCTATCGGAGTGTTCGATAACCCCCAACTGCAACATCTCTTCAATCTCCTTCCTCATATGTTCCCGCACGGATTCAGGAATCCGATATGGGGTCTGTCGCATGGGAAGCTGTCCCGGGGTTTCTACTCGGTGAGTGGCTAGTGGAGTGTACCCAGGTAAGTTAGAAAAGGTGGCACCCTTTGTCACTATCAGTTCTTGTACCTGGGTACGCTCTTGAGGACTTAGCCGCTCCCCCAGCTGAACCCCCTGGGAGGGTTCCTTCTGCTCCTCCTGCTCTAACAGATCTGGAAGAGGCAAGTTCTCCTGATCTTCGGAGGCGGGCGTGCAAATAGCTGCCACGTCCTCAGTTCGCTCGTGGTAGGGTTTGAGCATGTTCACATGGAGCATGCGTCTCTTCCCTACTCCGGAGCATGGGCCGATCACATAGGTGGTATCACATCTCTGCTCTACCACCTGGTATGGACCCTGCCAGACGGCCTGTAGTTTATCGGTGCGGACCGGTTTGAGGATTAAAACCTTCTGTCCCACTTGAAAACTACGGTCTCTGGCCCCTCTGTCATACCAACGATGCTGTCGTTGCTGGGCGGCTTGGAGGTTGGTGCGCACTGCCTGGGTTAATTCCTCCAGGCGATCTCGGAACGCCAGCACGTATGGTACAATAGGGGTCCCATCTGCGCTACTCTCTCCCTCCCAATGCTCTCTAATGAGATCCAACGGTCCCCGGACCCTTCTCCCAAATAACAGTTCAAATGGGGAGAAACCGGTAGATTCTTGGGGTACCTCTCTGTAAGCAAACAACAGATGGGGAAGGAATCGTTCCCAGTCCTTATGGGTCTCTCCGAATGTCCGAAGCATCTGTTTTAGGGTACCGTTGAATCTCTCACATAACCCGTTGGATTGAGGGTGGTAGGCTGAGTTAATGATTGGCTTAATGCCACATATCCTCCATAACTGCTGAGTCACCTCAGCCGTGAATTGTGTCCCCCTATCGGAGACCATTTCTTGTGGGAACCCTACTTGGGAGAATATTTTCATCAGGGCTTCGGCCACGGTCTCAGCGTGAATATTGGTTAAGGCAATCGCCTCGGGGTACCGTGTGGCGTAGTCCACCACGGTCAGTATATACCGCTTCCCAGAGGGGCTGGGTTTTGGTAGTGGCCCCACTATATCTACAGCTACATGGCTGAACGGTTCCTCAATTATAGGTAGGGGACACAGTTTCGCCTTGTGGCGATCCCCTCTCTTGCCTACCCTCTGACACACATCACAGGAGGTACAATAGTGCCTTACATCTTTAGAAATCCCGGGCCAAAAGAAAGCGTGCGTTAAGCGATACCGGGTCCGGGTCATCCCTAAATGGCCGGACAGAGGGATGTCATGGGCTATTCTCAGTAACTCCGGCCTATACTTCTGGGGTACTACCAGCTGCTTAGTTTGGGGCGTCACAGAGTTTCCTATTGCCCTTTCAGCCACCCGGTACAGTAACTTGTTTTCCCAAATGTACCGTTCCCCCTCCCGCCCCACCTGGTCCGTGTCTACCCTATCTCGGTACACCTGCAGTGTGGGGTCTGTCTGAACCTCGGCTTCAAAAGTGGTTGGGGTGTCCCAGGTCATATTTGTCAGGGGGGGGTCATGGTTCCTTACCTGACCCTCAGAGTGTGCTGGTGATGCCGTGGTGCGAGCCTGTTGCCGTGTAGTTACCGGGTGAGCCTCCTGTGAAGGGGCCTGGGGTAGGAAAGCGGAAGTCATCTGGCCCAAGTCATTCCCCAAAACCACATCTGCCGGTAACTTCTTCATTATTGCCACTTCTACAACCCCCTCCCCAGCACCCCAGTTCAAATGCACCTTGGCAGTGGGTAACCGGTACATTGCTCCCCCTGCTACCCGGACAGCCACTGATCCGCCAGTGTGGGCCGCATCTGGCACTAAATGTGGTGCCACTAAGGTCAAAGTGGCTCCCTGTACTTCTTTCCCCCCCACAAACACAACTTGGCAGTGATGCTGCCTGTTGTCCGTGGCTTGCACAGACATCACTTCATATAGGACCCCCAACGGTTCCTCGATTTGCAGACTTGCCAGCTCCGAGTGGTCAGGTTCCGTGTGGTAGAAATGGGCCGCCGCCCTCGGGGCAGAGTTCTGCCATACCTGGTTCCACGCCTGCCTACTCCGATTCTGGGTGCACTCCCGGGACATATGTCCCCACTGCCGGCAGGTATGGCATTGTATGTTGGCTCTGCCATTGTAGCGGGATGGTGGTGGGGGGTTTCCGGATGCTGGCCTGAATGGGGTAGGGTTGGCAGGTGTGGAGATGGTCGGGTGGTGTTGTACTGGCGGTCTCAGGGGACCCCTGTTGGTGAGCCCATGGTGCCTCCGGGCATCAAAATGTTCATCTGCCAATCGGGCGGCTGCTGTGAGGGTGAGAGGTTTTCTGTCCCTTACCCACTCCTGTGCCTCCGGTGACAGGCCGTTAAAGAACTGCTCCAGCAGGATGAGTTGGCGCAGTCCTTCCATGGTGGTGGCTTGGCTTGTCTGAATCCACCCTTGTGAAGCTTGGTCAAGCTTATGCGCCCACTCTGCGTGGGAATCTCTTTCGGGCTTTTTCAATCCCCAAAATTTTCGCCGGTATGCCTCCGGGGTTATGGCATACCTTTCTAGAATTGCCCGTATCACTTTAAAATAGTCCTTGCTGTCCTCTCTGGGCACAGCGCGATACGCCTCTGCTGCTCGTCCTGCCAACTTGCCTGCCAGTAGGGGTACCCACATCGCCTGCTCCAGGTCGTGTAGGTCGCATAACCGCTCGAAATCCTGCAGGTATCCGTCTATCTCATCCTTCTCCTCGCAGAACGCTTTAAATGCCTGGTAAGGTATTTTCTGCTTTATTGGAGTGCAGAATGAGTTGGTGATGGATTCTGCCCTGGAGGGTGCCCCCGGAGATTGCTGTGCCATAATGTAGTCCTGGACGTCTGCCATCAGTACGGTCAATATGTCCAGGGGTACTGGCTGGGGTACAAATTCCAACCAGGTTCTCAGTTCCCTCTGATACGGTGTTTCCTCCCTGGCCGGTGGGGGTGGACTGCTGTGTGCTTGGTCACCTTCCATCAGCTCTGCAATGAGTACTGCTTTAGATTTGTTGCTAGCGCTTTTCCCTCTAGCTTCCAGCAGTTCCTTTAGCGTCTGCCTCTTTAACGCCGTGTAATCCGTCCCCATTCACTGATCACTTTCGTCTGTTTGTTTCATACGAATTTCCTTTCCCTTTTTCCGTTCGGTTGTTCCTTTCATTCGAACGCACTGTATTCGGCTGTAGAGTTGGATCCCGTCGCTTGCCACCAATTGTAGCGGAACGCCAATATTAAATCCACGAATTCCGCTGGTTCAGGAAATAATACACAGTCAAGCACTGAAACAACAAGGCAATATCCCCAACCTCCCAGTAACCGGACGAGACACAGTTCTGAGAGTCAACTGAAATCCTTTAATTCGGCTGCACAATTTATACAAGTCCCCATGCAAGGGGTTTCCTGAGTCCCTTCCCAGGGGCACTCCCAGAGGGGACTACATGGGGACTTACATTACAGCATATTTCTCCCATCAGGCACTGCTGCACGAGAGGGGTCCTCCTCCCAGAACCCACCGTTAAGTGGATTATCCCCTCGTGCAGCAGAACCGACAATTTACACAAAAATCCATAACTTGGTGAATGTACGGTGGATTTACACGAATGGACGTTCGGTAGATAGCTGGGGTCTGAGTGCCTCATTCGTGAGATTACCGCTCAGATCCCAGCTAAAATAACCGAACGCCGCACGAAAAACACATTTCTTATAACACATATAAAAAGAACCGATTGCTTTTAGGGAACAAAATACCGAATGGCCCGAAACTCCCAAACGTCCTGGAGGCTCAGCGGTGTTCGTGCCGTCGAGTAGCCGTTTTTAGTACCATGTGCTCGACGACCTAGTAGCGCCGAGGGAACAAAGGATCCAAGATGGCCGACCGCCGCATGGTCGGTAGTCGAACGACGGCCACCCAGGAGAGCCTCTAATTAATCGGTTAACCAGCGCCACACGCCTCTAAGTGTGTGGGCTATTAGGGGTATTGCGTTCGGTTCACGAACGGCCCTCCAAAGTGCCGTTCGTGAAACGAAAGAAAATCCCCATACAAACCGCCATTTGCATTCGGCAGATGGCAAATACAGGCAATCCAGACAATACATGTAGCATACAACATACAGAGTAAAGCACATATCTCCCCAGACCTATAGGCAACCCTTAAAGATATAGTCTCTGGTTATAGTCCAAGTGGCTAGGTTTGCCACAGGTGTATTTTAACAGTGAGAGACAGAATAACAAAACAAAAAAATATTCCAGAAAAACGCATGTCAAAAAAGTTATAAATTGATTTGCATGTCAATGAGTGAAATAAGTATTTCATCCCCTATCAATCAGCAAGATTTCTGGCTCCCAGGTGTCTTTTCTACAGGTAACAAGCTGAGATTAGGAGCACTCCCTTAAAGGGAGTGCTCCTAATCTCAGCACATTAGAAAAGACATATGTCCACAGAAGCAATCAATCAGATTCCAAACTCTCCACCATGGCCAAGACCAAAGAGCTGTCCAAGGATGTCAGAGACAAGATTGTAGGCCTACACAAGGCTGGAATAGGCTACAAGACCTTTGCCAAGCAGCTTGGTGAGAAGGTGACAACAGTGGTGCGATTATTCGCTAATGGAAGAAACACAAAATAACTGTCAGTCTCCCTCAGTCTGGTGCTTCATGCAAGTTCTCAACTGGTGGAGTTTCAATGATCATGAGAATTGTAAGGAATCATCCCAGAACGACAAGGGAGGATCTTGTTAATTATCTCAAGGCAGCTGGGACCATAGTCACCAAGAAAACAATTGGTAACATACTACGCCGTGAAGGACTGAAATCCTACAGCACCTGCAAGGTCCCCCTGCTCAAGAAAACACATGTACAGGCCTTCTGAAGTTTGCCAATGAACATCTGAATGGTTCAGAGAAGAACTGGGTGAAAGTGTTGTGGTCAGATGAGACCAAAATCGAGCTCTTTGGCATCAACTCAACTGGCTGTGTTTGGAGGAGGAGGAATGCTGCCTATGACCCCAAGAACACCATCCCCACCGTCAAATATGGAGGTGGAAACATTATGCTTTGGGGGTGTTTTTCTGCTAAGTGGACAGGACAACTGCACTGCATCAAAGGGACGATGGACGGGGCCATGTACAGTAAAATCTTGGGTGAAAACCTCCTTCCCTCATCCAGGGGATTGCAAATGGGTCGTGGATGGGTATTCCAGCAAGACAATGACCCAAAACACACAGCCAAGGCAACAAAGGAGTGGCTCAAGAAGAAGCACATTTAGGTTTTGGAGTGGCCTAGACAGTTTTCAGACCTTAATCTCATAGAAAATCTGTGGAGGGAGCCGTCAGCCTGGAAACCTTAATGACTTGGAGAGGATCTGCAAAGAGGAGTGGGACAAAATCCCTCCAGAGATGTGTGCAAACCTGGGCACCATCTACAAGAAACGTCTGACCTCGTGACCTCAGGAAGACCATTATTGGGGTCAATGGCACGGACTGGCTCATTATCTTGTCTGTGAGGTGCTGGGAGTGTTACTAAATGTCACAGTCTGAGAAAAGCAGGAGAATGGTTAATACATACCTGCAAATCACCGTTACCATCTGGAATAACCCCTGGCAGACCCTGCAAAGGACACGAGAATAGGTAAATATAGAGTTAGTGGTCTCAGAGTCTGGAACCATAACAGATGTGTGGTGGTACATTGCTCAGTGTTTGCATGCTAATCTGTTCCAGTGTCTGAATGTTACTATGTTCCATTTTCCTCTATGTTCCAGAGTCTGAATATTACTATATGTCACTATGTTCCAGAGTCTGAATACTACTATATGTCACTATGTTCCAGTGTCTGATTATTACTATATGTCACTATGTTCCAGTATCTGAGTGCTACAGTGTTCTAGTGTCTGAGTTTTACTATGTTCCAGTGTCTACTTTTTATTACATTTCAGTATCTACTTTTTATTATGTTCCAGTGTCCGTGTGTTTGTGTTTTCCAGAGTCTGAATATTACTATATGTCACTACGTTCCAGTGTCTGATTATTATATGTTCCTACACTATGTTCCAGTGTCTGATTATTACCATATGTCACTATGTTCTAGGTTTAAGTGCTACTATGTTCCAGTGTCTGACTACTACTATGTTACAGTGTCTACTTGTTATTACATTCCAGTGACTATTTGTTACGATATCTATGTGTTACTTTGTTCCAGTGTCTGAATGTTACTATGTTCCAGTATCTGAATATTACTATATGTTACTATGTTCCGGTCTCAGGAGTAACTATGTTTCAGTGTCTATTTGCTCCTGTGTTCCAGTATCCGATTGTTACTATGATCCAGTGTCTATATGTCATTAGTTCCAGTGTCTATATGTCACTATGTTCCAGTGTCTATGTGTTACTATGTTCCAATATCTATGTGCTACAATGTTCCAGTGTCAGATATTGAAACATAGTAACAAACAGACACTGGAACATAGTAACACATACATATTAGAACACAGTAACATTTAATGTTCCAGTTACCAAGTGTTACTGGGTTCCGGTGTCCGAGTGTTACTGGGTTCCGGTGTCCGAGTGTTACTGGGTTCCGGTGTCCCAGTGTTACTGGGGTCCGGTGTCCCAGTGTTACTGGGGTCCGGTGTCCCAGTGTTACGGGGTCCGGTGTCCCAGTGTTACGGCGTCTGAATATTACTATATGTCGCTATGTTCCAGTGTCTGTGCTACTATGTTCCAATGTATGAGTGTTACTATGTTCCAGTGTCTACTTGTTACTATGTTCCAGTGTCTATGTGTTACTATGTTCCAGTATCTGAGCGTAACTATGTACCAATAGTTACGTGTTACTTTATTCAAGTGTATATTTGTTATTATGTTCCTGGTTTGTGTGTTATTATGTAAATGTGCATGACTATATTCCATAGTCTGCATATTATAGTTTCATTGTTATGTATAAGTATGTTTCCGTATCTTCATGTTAATATTTACATATTAGTGTGTTAATATAGTCCAGCACCTCTGTATCAGCATGATGTCTCATGAACATAAACTTACTGGGGGTCCTGGTAGGCCAGGAGGACCAGGCAACCCTTGAGGTCCTGAAGGTCCCTATAAAATCAGAAATAAACAAGTGTTACTCAAATACAAGTATTGGGGGGAGGGGGCTATCAGCAATGACATAATGACATCACCATGTGCTGTGATAAAGTGATAACGCCCAATAACTGCCTGTACTACCCAAGATGGCCAACATCTCAAGGCTGGGGGTTCCTGAATACATTTGGGTACTTTTTCATGAACTTTAGGGTATCTCTGTTTAAGAAAGTTTACACATACATTTATAAAGGGTACATTTTAACTTTGCTTATTCACCCACCGGACAACCATTTTACCATTAAATGTCACAGGAAGTAAGCAACATAATGACACTGTTGAAGAACCGATTAAACCTTGAATGTTAGAGTTGTGAGCAATGACTCATGTAGGGTATAACTTAAAAGGCCAGTTTCTCTAATTTCACACACTCTGCATTAACTTAACAGAGCCCTATCGATGAAATGGTGATGTATTTTTTTAACAAACTGCATACTAACATAGGTCGATCCCTATCATGTTAACCAGCAGTGTCACTGGAAGCTTCGGGCTATCCCAAACACAACACCGTGGGCTTCCTGTGGAACAGTTGTGGTTGAGGTGGAGGTAACAGTGGCTTTCAGTATATCAGTGGGTAAAGAAATAAGAGTTCCTACCAAGGGGCCTTGAGGTCCGCGTCCACCGGGTAATCCGCTGGGTCCCGCCAGACCCTGAAAGGAGGCAAAGAACAGAGAGTGAGAAGCCTGTACTGCTGGGAGTATCTTGCAGTTTAGGTTAGACTCATTGGGATGGTGACAATCTAACTTCATACAAGTCAGTTAAACACTAGGATCTAATCAATATGTGGGAGCTATCTTTCAAATAATGTAAAAAAAGTGATCAAGTGCTTCATTATTGCTTCATCAACAACATATGGTTACTTGCACAATCCTATCTGAACCATAGGCGTGCACACGGGGTGTGCCTGTTGTGCCTGGGCACACCCTAATCCCCGCAGCACGCCTATGGAGTGAGACCGGCAGGGAAGATCTCAGGATCCCCCCTGTCGGCTCATGCAGAGCCAGCGCTATCCGCCGGCTCTGCTCTAAGCCTCCCTCCCCACTGCAGCATGGAGGGAGGCAGGAGAGGACCCGGGGAGTTCAACCAACAGCTCCGCAGGGTTCCTCTTTTGAGTTCTGAATGTTGCCGTGGCAACGCTCAGATCTCGCGAGAGTGAACTGCAGTGAACTCTAGCCTCCACTGGACCACCAGGGAAAGCAGCAGGAACAAGAATCCCCCCTCCCTACATAAGGTAAGAAGGGAGGGGGATATTAAGTAATGTACCCCCACCTCCACCCCCCACAATCACCCACACACATACAGCACCCACACACACAGCACCTACATACAGCACACACACCTACACACATACAGCACCCACAGACACACAGCACCCACACCCACACAGCACACACATACAGCACCCACACACACACAGCATCCACACACTCGCATACATACAGCACCCACACACACATACAGCACCCAAACACACACACAGCACCCACACACACACACCCACACAGCACAGCACCCACACACACACACACACAGCACCCTCGCACATATAGCACCCTCGCACACAGAGCACAGAAACAGCACCCTCACAGCACACTAACAGGACCCTAACAAACACACACACACACATCACATTAACAGCACCCTCACACACAGCACCCTTACACACACACACAACACCCTCAAACCACCCTCATGCAGCACACACACACACACACACCAGTGTATGTATGTGTGTGAGTGTATATATATATATATATATATATATACACACATACATATACATACACACACACACATACATACATACACACACACACACACACACACATACATATACACGCAGCGTGTGTTTGTGCTCAATAGGCTGCGCACGCCTATGATCTGAACACAGGCTCTAACACAATCGGAACTGGATGTCTATGTTCCAGCTAATGATAATACACTATCTAAATGCATACTGGAATTGCATTCTATATCATGATCTCCCAAGATCCAACTGGAATCACTAAGAGTGGAAATAGGCAACCCAAGACCCAGTCTATGTGATGGAGAAAGGTCACTCAAGACCCAGTCTATGTTAAGGAGAAAGGTCACCAATGCCCAGTCTCTGTAATGGAGAAAGGTCTTCCAAGGCCTAGTCTCTGTAATGGAGAAAGGTCACCCAAGGCCTAGTCTCTGTAATTGAGAAAGGTCTTCCAAGGCCTAGTCTCTGTAATAGAGAAAGGTCTTCCAAGGCCTAGTCTCTGTAATAGAGAAAGGTCTTCCAAGGCCTAGTCTCTGTGATGGAGAAAGGTCACCCAAGGCCTAGTCTATGTAATGGAAAAAGGTCTTCCAAGGCCCAGTCTCTGTAATAGAGAAAGGTCTTCCAAGGCCTAGTCTCTGTAATGGAGAAAGATCACCCAAAGTTCAGGCTCTCTATTGAAGAGAGATCACCCAAGGCCCAGTCTTTGTGATGGAGAAAGGTTACCCAAGATCCGGTCTCTGTAACAGAGAAAGATCACTCAATGCCTAGTCTCAATGATGGAGAAAGGTCTCACAAGGCATAGTCACTGTGATGGAGAAAGGTCTCCCAAGGCCCAGTCTCTGTGATGGAGAAAGGTCTCCCAAGGCCCAGTCTCTGTGATGGAGAAAGGTCTCCCAAGGCCCAGTCTCTGTGATGGAGAAAGGTCTCCCAAGGCCCAGTCTCTGTGATGGAGAAAGGTCTCCCAAGGCCCAGTCTCTGTGATGGAGAAAGGTCTCCCAAGGCCCAGTCTCTGTGATGGAGAAAGGTCTCCCAAGGCCCAGTCTCTGTGATGGAGAAAGGTCTCCCAAGCCCAGGCTCTCCGTGATGGAGAAGCCCAGGCTCTCACCCAAGGCCAAGTCTCTGTGACGGAGAAAGATTACCCAAGACTGAGTCTCTTTAACAGAGAAAGGTCACTCAATGCCCAGTCTCAATGATGGAGAAAGGTCTCCCAAACCCCACTCTCTGTTATCTTAAAAAGTCACCCAAGGCCCAGTCTCTGTGATGTTAAAAAGTCACCCAAGGCCTAGTCTCTGTGATGGAGATAAGGCACCCAATATCCAGTCTCTTTAATGGAGAAAGGTCACCCAAGGCTCAAGCTCTGTGATGGAGAAAGATCACCCAAGCCTCAGTCTCTCTAATGAAAAAAACGGTCAACCAAGGCCCAGTCTCTGTGAAGGAGAAAGGTCTCCCAAGGCCCACTCTCTGATGGAGAAAGGTCACCCAAGGACCAATCTCTTTTATGGAGAAAGGTGAAATCATTTGGTAGAAAAAGGTCACACTTACAGGAGGTCCTGAAGGTCCTCGACCCTAAAAGAAAACCAAGAAACATAAAAAAATTAGTAAGGAGTAAAGCATCTTATCACAGTAAAACTCTCACTACCTTCACAGCTGCAGAGACAAATAAAGATGGATTCTATGAACTACTGATGGTATGGTAATACTGCATTATAGAAACAGGATGTTGGTGTGAAATTCTGTATTTTTTCCATTTCATTTTACATTCTAATCTTTTTTATCCATGGTTTATGCCCTTTGTAGACAGACCAGTCGATTGTCTGGGTTCTATTTTGAAGATCGCATTATGGATGTAGGACATACAACCAATAGAATCCCACAAAACTTTTAATTAATCACAATCTCCCAGTTGACCTGCTGTCACATAGCACAAAAAGAAAGGGTCACTCCTTCACGTCCAGTCTAGATTTGGCGGATTCTTTACGTACCGGAGGTCCATCTGGCCCAGGAGGTCCGATATCTCCCTAAAATATACAAAACATCACAGTCTGTCAACCTTTCAGACAGTATGGGGATCACAAAAACCCTGCAGTTCAACAAACCTGACATCTGTACTGCATTTATAGTTTATTTATTTATAAAATATTTTACCAGGAAGGATACATTGAGATTTCTCTCATTTTCAAGTATGTCCTGGGTATAGTATTGTATTGGGTATTAATTGCTGTAACCAGGGGTATATGTATGTATGCAATATTTCAATATAAATTATAAAGAGGACAAACACGGCAATACACACTGTCAATGCCAGGAAAAAAGTGGTACATACCCAGATATAACCTCACCCAGGAACAGGGTCCTGTATTTAAACACTTGGCCACTAATAGCCGATTTGTGTTATTTCATTTGCCAGCCTGTGTTTTTGCAGAAGGCTTTGTGTTGGAAGCATTTCACACTTATTGAGACAGAATGCTTCACAGCAAATGTGTACCTGGGTACACATAGGGTTAATGCTCTACATTTTATGTGTGTATAAAGTATAATTACCTCCCCTCCTTTGATTGAACCTAAATATCTGCCTATACACAGCAGCTCTTATTACTGTATAACCACAGCACACCCAGAATGCCATGCAAGATATGCAAATGAGCACATACAGCATTGGCACTTTTTAGATTTCCTTGAAAGGGAGAAGCAACATCCATATAATCGTTGAATACTCATACATAGAGCCAAGCCTCCAGGTCAGACATTTCATAGTGTTTATGTAAGTGCATGTCATTCTGGGCATGAAAAGTGCTGCCTTGTGACACGTAATTTACTGAAAGTAACGCCATGATTTTCTCCTGACATTATATTAATTGTACACGTGGAGGGCAGTCATCATGTAGAAGGACCTAAACGGTAAAAAAATAAACAAAACATTCTGTACAACTTACATAGGGTCCTGATAACTTTCTCACTGGTTCTCTCTCGTTCTCTCACTCTGCCCCCTAATATTCTCTTTCTCCCTACCTGTCTCCAGATTCTCTCACGCTTCCCTCTCTCACTCTGCCCCTTGATATTCTCTCTCTCCCGATTCTCTCTCTCCCGATCCTCTCTCGCTCTCTCTCTGTCTCCCGATTCTCTTTCACTTACTCTGTACCTTGATATTGTGTCTCTGTCCCTTGATATTGTCTCTCTCGGTCTCTAGATTCTCTCTCTGTCTCACAATTCTTTCTCTCCACTCACCCTTACATAAATCTCATGAGCTCCACTCACCCCACTTAACCCTACATAAATCTCATCACCCATATATCAATCTCATGAACCCAAATCACTCTTACATTAATCTCATGACTCTGAATCACTACTACACCAATCTCATGACCCCCACTCACCCCTGCATCAATCTTATGACCCCCAATCATCTATACATCAATCTCACGAGCCACACATCAATATCATGACCCCCACTCACCCCTACATCAATCTCACGAGCCACACATCAATATCATGACCCCCACTCACCCCTACATCAATCTCACGAGCCACACATCAATCTCATGACCCCCCACTCTCTCTGACTCCCGATTCTCTCTCACAGCTATTTGAGTCCCAATTCTCCCCACCAATACAATACTCTATGCCCCGATACTTCCTATCCATTAATACTCTATGATCCTGATAGTCTCTATTCACCACCAACACTCTATGCCTTCACTCTAAGTTAGATCAATCTCATGACCCCAATCACCAATACAAACTCATGACACCTACTTACACCTATGTAAATCTCATGACCCCCCTTCATCTCTACATCAATCTCATGACCCCCATATACCCCTACATCAAACTCATGACCCCCAATCACCTCTACATCAATCTAATGACCCCCACTCACCCTTAGATCAATCTCATAACCTCTACTGACCTCCTACATCAATCTCATGGCCACCATTCTCCCCTAAATCAATCTCATGATCCCCACTGACCCCTACATCAATCTCATGGCCACCATTCTCCCCTAAATCAATCTCATGACCCCTACATCAATCTCATGACCCCCAATCATCTCTACATCTATCTCATGACCTCCACTGACCCCCTACATCAATCTCATGACCCCCACATCCATCTCATGACCCCCACATCCATCTCATGACCCCCCACTCACCCTTAGATCAATCTCATAACCTCTACTGACCCCTACATCAATCTCATGACCCCCTACATCAATCTCATGACCACCATTCTCCCCTAAATCAATCTCATGATCCCCACTGACCCCTACATCAATCTCATACCCCCAATCATCTCTACATCTATCTCACCTATTGTACAGTGCTGCAGAATATGTAGCTGCTTCATAAATACCAATAAAGGTATCTGAGGGTTCCTCAGCTCTATAACATATATAATGTACATACATAATACACTAACCCCGGTACCAGCTGAAATGAAGCAGAACATCAAACCATATATTTAACCAGTTATATGCCATCTGCACACTTACCCGTTCCCCTGGGGGTCCATCAGGCCCAGGTTTCCCATCTGGTCCAGTCAGCCCCTGAGATAGAGATGTCAGATTAATTGGTATATTAACTCCTGAGCTCCCAGCTTTTCTTTAATTACCAAGTCTGGTTAACCCTTTTCTGGGATCTGTGGAAGAACAGGTTAATGAGACACTTACATCAATCCCTGGAAGTCCGGACAGGCCTGGTTTACCAGCCTCACCTGGTTTTCCAGGAGCCCCTTTAGGTCCCTGTCAAATTAGAACAGAATTAAATAAATGAACATTTGCAGATTGCATTACAGTGCTATTGTTAATAAAATGAGCATGGATATAATAAGCAGAACATTATAATCTATTACGTGCCTTGAAACCTGCAAACTCAGCAGATAAGAAATACTTGCTTAGCATGCTGGGAGTAACATTCCTTTTTATTCCAGAATGCTGTTCCCTGCGTTCACTACTCTTGGTCTAACCGGCCTTAGAACCCCTCACGCTGGTACACATTTTTATTTATCAAAGTGTTGTAAACGGATTCAAAAAATTTGGGGTAATTATTTTGGGTGGCTATATAATTAATATGTTTGAGTATTTCATCCCCGTAATCGTCATTTTTGATCTATCGGACTTTCACTTTTTCTGGCATAAAGGCATAATGTCAAAGAAATGCGTAGAGACTGGGGCCCAAGGAATTCATGTATTCATTATATGACATATGGGTTATAGGAGTTGCATCCCTACCACCCTTAGCTAGACTCTGGTCTTGTGTTGATGGGAGTTGCAATCGAATATTCAAAAATAAGTTACAGATTGGTTATCCCTTTAAGGATATTTATGAATCTTTGCACGTTGTCATGCACCTTCTTTCTGGCCCCACACAAGACAGAAACTAATATACATACCTTCCAAGTGTCCCTATTTAGGAAGGGCAGTCCCTATTTTTGGCTAAATCTCTCTTTTTTTGTCCTAATGTCCCTCTTATCTTGGAGCTCCAGATTGTTAGTGTTCCTGAGTGTATAACAGAGCTCCACAGCAATAATACTCCAAGTAATGTGTCTGAGTGTATAACAGAGCTCCACAGTAATAATACTCCAAGTAATGTGTCTGAGTGTATAACAGAGCCCCACAGCAATAATACTCCCTGTAATGTGTCTGAGTGTATAACAGAGCTCCACAGCAATAATACTCCCAGTAATGTGTCTGAGTGTATAACAGAGCTCCACAGCAATAATACTCCCAGTTATGTGTCTTTAAACTACAATAAATGTGTTTAGAAATCAGTCTGCGTAAATAAGATACATTGTTCTTGTTATAAATTACATTTTAGTTGGATAAATTGTTATTAGTAATCAGCCCTACCCCACTCAGAAGAAGCCCTGGCCACACCCCCACTCACTCCCCTAAAATGAAAGTGTCCTCCAGTCAATATTGAAATATTGGGAGATAAGCATTCAGCACTCGCTGAACACTTTCTCTGCCTGTGAGTTATTACCGCACTATTCTCGCCTTCACTAGGTGCATCGCAATAATTCGCAGTAATCCTTTCACAGTGATTCGGGGGTCTCACTTTTCACTTACCGGGGGTCCAGGCAGACCAGCAGGTCCTTGCTCGCCCTAAGAGAGAAATAAAATAATTCAACATAAATTGTGCTGATAGAGAGTGCACAGCCTTTTAATCATTAAATCCCCCAAATGAAACCTCCATAATGTTTTGGAATCATTTAAATGTTTCTGTCTGGGGTCCCGAAACACCTAGTGCAAGATATATTGATCATATTCAGCGGTTTGTTCTTTTTAGTTGCATAAATTATTATTAGTAAGAATAGCCCTGCCCCTAGCCACAACCTCATTTAATACAGCCACGCCCATGGCCACACCTTATCTCTCATTTAGGACAGACCCGCCCCTGGCCACACCCACCCCCCTAAAATTAAAGGGACCCTCTTTGTCCATGTGTCACTATGGGTGGGTGACAGTTTTATGGGGTGCGCTCACTCTGGGTGGGGGACAGTTTTATGGGGTGCGCTCACTCTGGGTGGGGGACAGTTTTATGGGGTGCGCTCACTATGGGTGGGTGACAGTTTGATGGGTTGCGCTCACTATGGGTTTGGGACAGTTTTATGGTGTGCGCTCACTATGGGTGGGTGACAGTTTGATGGGGTGCGCTCACTCTGGGTGGGGGACAGTTTTATGGGGTGCGCTCACTATGGGTTGGGCACAGTTTTATGGGGTGCGCTCACTATGGGTTGGGCACAGTTTTATGGGGTGCGCTCACTATGGGTGGGGGACAGTTTTATGGGGTGCGCTCACTATGGGTTGGGCACAGTTTTATGGGGTGCGCTCACTCTGGGTGGGGGACAGTTTTATGGGGTGCGCTCACTATGGGTTGGGCACAGTTTTATGGGGTGCGCTCACTCTGGGTGGGGCACAGTTTTATGGGGTGCGCTCACTCTGGGTGGGGAACAGTTTTATGGGGTGTGCTCACTATGGGTGGGGGACAGTTTTATGGTGTGCCCTCACTATGGGTTTGGGACAGTTTTATGGTGTGCGCTCACTATGGGTGGGGGACAATTTTATAGGGTGCACTCACTATGGGTTGGGGACAGTTTTATGGGGTGCGCTCACTCTGGGTGGGCTCACTCTGGGTGGGGAACAGTTTTATGGGGTGCGCTCACTATGGGTTTGGGACAGTTTTATGGTGTGCGCTCACTATGGGTGGGGGACAGTTTTATAGGGTGCACTCACTATGGGTTGGGGACAGTTTTATGTGGTGTGCTCACTCTGGGTGGGGAACAGTTTTATGGGGTGCGCTCACTATGGGTTTGGGACAGTTTTATGGTGTGCGCTCACTATGGGTGGGGGACAATTTTATAGGGTGCACTCACTATGGGTTGGGGACAGTTTTATGGGGTGTGCTCACTATGGGTGGGGGACAGTTTTATAGGATGCGCTCACTATGGGTGGGGGTCAGTTTTATAGGGTTCACTCACTATGGGTTGGGGACAGTTTTATGTTGTGTGTTCACTGTGGGTTGGGGACAGTTAGTACCATGTACCCATTACGTTTATACCAGTAGAAATCACTTTGAATTAAATGGATTGGAGAAAGAAAAGGTGAGATGAGAATGAGGTAGTGAGAGATGGAGAGGGAGGGGGTGAGATAGAAATAGAGATAGTGAATGAGAGAGAGAGGGAGGGGTGACAGAGAAAGAAGAAAGGAGAGCGGGAGATAGAGATAGTGAATCAGAGATATACGTGAGGGGAGGAGGAAGAGAGATAGATAGAGGGATGGAAGGAGAGAGAGAGGGGAAGGAGGTAGACAGAGATAGAAAGTGAGAGACAGAGAGGGATGGAAGGAAGGATAGAGATATAGTAATAGGGGGTAGACAGAGAGAGAGAGACACACACACACACACACACACAGGGATGGAAGAAGAGAGAGATAGCGATAGGGAAGGAGGTAAACAGAGAGAGGGGGGAATGGAAGAAGAGAGCGAGCGAGGGGGATGGAGAGGAGGAGAGAGAGGGATGAAAGTAGAGAAGGTGGAGAGAGAGAGGGATAGGGGGATGAAAGGAGAGAAGGTAGAGAGAGAGAGAGAGAGAGAGAGGGATGAAAGGAGAGAAGGTGGAGAGAGAGAGGGATGAAAGGAGAGAAGGTAGAGAGAGGGATGAAAGGAGAGAAGGTGGAGAGAGAGATAGGGATGAAGGGAGAGATGTGATTAGAAAGGAAGCGGTTTCTGCTTTGGTTTATTGACAGAGCATAATCTGATATAATTGCAGGGAGAGAGTAACACTGGGCAGCTTTACAGTATCAATGACATCACTATAATATGATTGTAAGTTCTGTGGCCCAGTCACTCTAGTAAGCTAAACACACCTTCCCCTTTAATACAGAAGGTGAATGTCTGAGAGGTGATCTACGTTTACTTCAATGCAAAAATGTTCTATGACTATTAACTAACGTGATCTGCTTGTATTAGTTCGTATTATGATTATTATTAATGAGCCCCTATGGGCCCCCGGCCGGTGTTTGTACGCTGCTGCCGGTGTGAATGATCAGATTGCAGTCTCCTTGCGGGAGCAGATGTGGTCCATGAAACAGACAAGGAGCTCTGTATATTGCTGGCAGGAGCTGGGAGGGGGGGGGGGGCTCCCTGTACACAGAGCTTCCTTTATACTGCACTAAATAAACACAGCAGGCAGGCATCTCATTAACCTCTTCGGTGCCACATACACCGCTGACACATAACACAGACTCCAGACACAAAGAGGTTAATCTATCCATAGTGTGAGTCTATCAAGGTCCAACCGAGCCCCTGATCATAGCGTTACTTACATCTATTCCATCTTTGCCGGGAATTCCTGGGGGTCCTTGAGGGCCCGGGGGTCCTGGTGGTCCAGCTCTCTGTGAAAAGACAAAGTGGTGATAGTGACTGGATATCCATGGAACAAGGCCACAAGCTGTCTAACAGGCCATAAGACTGGCTCTGAGCATGTAGTGCCCTGAGATTTCAGTTATTAAATCGATCAGGGTCACAATGGACACCAAGGATGAAAATGAGACTGATGTTTTAACTGAATTGGGGATTTTTTTATAATTTGGTAATTTTTCCAATTCTTCTGTCAGGCCACAAAATGTCAAACTGTCATGAATGAACCCCTTGATGGCTGAGAATAGTGTGTTTTCACCATGGAGTCCTGCATGGGGGCCCATGCTGGTTAATTAGACTCCATGACTGAGGTAAAGGCTCATAATTCACCAGCATGTCAATTATTTAATAATCTGTGCCCCCTCCCGAATAAACAGGGATCACTATACAGGCTGTGCCAGGGCTTCCAGACACAGGATCCAAACAGTGCTGAATGGGGCGAAGGAAAGTAACATCTCACAAAATGATTCAATGTTTCCCGGTAATAAAAAAGGGACTTTATTTCTACATTAAATATTTTCTTCTGTGAGAAACGTGTTGGTCAACACCTGATTCTGCATTCCCAGCTCACTGTATCACTCCATTCCCAGCTCACTATATCACTCCATTCCCAGCTCACTGTATCATACCAATTCCCAGCTCACTGGATCACTCCATTCCGAGCTCACTGTATCATACCAATTCCCAGCTCACTGGATCACTCCATTCCGAGCTCACTGTATCATACCAATTCCCAGCTCACTGGATCACTCCATTCCCAGCTCACTGGATCACTCCATTCCCAGCTCACTATATCACTCCATTCCCAGCTCACTGTATCATACCAATTCCCAGCTCACTGGATCACTCCATTCCCAGCTCACTGTATCATACCCATTCCCAGCTCACTGCATCATACCAATTCCCAGCCCACTGTATCATACCAATTCCCAGCTCACTGGATCACTCCATTCCCAGCTCACTATATCACACCATTCCCAGCTCACTGGATCACTCCATTCCCAGCTCACTATATCACTCCATTCCCAGCTCACTGGATCACTCCATTCCCAGCTCACTATATCACACCATCCCCAGCTCACTGGATCACTCCATTCCCAGCTCACTGGATCACACCAATTCCCAGCTCACTGGATCACTCCATTCCCAGCTCACTATATCACTCCATTCCCAGCTCACTGTATCACTCCATTCCCAGCTCACTATATCACTCCATTCCCAGCTCACTATATCACTCCATTCCCAGCTCACTATATCACACCATTCCCAGCTCACTATATCACTCCATTCGCAGCTCACTGGATCACACCATTCCCAGCTCACTGTATCATACCAATTCCCAGCTCACTGGATCACTCCATTCCCAGCTCACTGTATCACACCAATTCCCAGCTCACTGTATCATACCAATTCCCAGCTCACTATATCACACCATTCCCAGCTCACTATATCACACCATTCCCAGCTCACTATATAACACAATTCCCAGCTCACTATATCACACCATTCCCAGGTCACTATATCACACCATTCCCAGCTCACTATATAACACAATTCCCAGCTCACTATATAACAATTCCCAGCTCACTATATCACACCATTCCCAGCTCACTATATCACACCATTCCCAGCTCACTATATAACACAATTCCCAGCTCACTATATAACAATTCCCAGCTCACTATATCACACCATTCCCAGCTCACTATATCACACCATTCCCAGCTCACTATATAACACAATTCCCAGCTCACTATATAACAATTCCCAGCTCACTATATCACACCATTCCCAGCTCACTATATCACACCATTCCCAGCTCACTATATAACACAATTCCCAGCTAACTATATGGCTCTATTCAGAGTTTACACATCCACCATCCAATTCTATGCTGTGATCCACAGAGGGTATTATGGATTGGTGGAGGAATCCATGGTACCGTTTCCATACGGGAGGGGGGAGGCAGGTTCCTTTTTATTTATAATAGGGACTAGCAGTGGTCTCGCCAGTTGGGAATTCCTAAAGATCAGAATTACAATATAAAATCATACGTTTATTAGTAGGAATTCCCCATTGCATGGTTTCTAGTGACGCTTTGTGTGATAGAGGAGAATTTCTGGTACAATCTGCCATTGATGGTGAATAGCCCATGTACTGTCCTGAGTACTCAGCCTCCTTCTCTAATAACCAACACATTCCTCAGAGCTGCACAATGAGGGCATTGAAACGTGTCATGCTGAGAGCTATTAGGGGAGAATGGGGCTCATGGCTAAAACATAATTCAGGTGTACTCACTAAATAGTGAGCATAATAAAAAAATAAAAAAACACAACAAATTGCAAAACGTCAATGTGGCTGAAATTCTCACATCCCTTAGTTTTTCCAATTTGACTAGTCTGGTCTAAATTTTTAAATTTGGCTTTCATTTCACCCTAATCCACTCCTTACAGAATAAATCATAATATGACTTGCTAAACACATGTACATGGAGAATTCTTTGTTTCTTTATCTAAAATGTGAAATTTGAATTTGCAACAAATAAAAATGTAGTCAATAATCCTGTTAGTGTGCAAGTAATGGCTGTCTCAGGTCAGTCACAGAGTGTGCAAGTAATGGCAGTCTCAGGTCAGTCACAGAGTGTGCAAGAAATGGCAGTCTCAGGTCAGTCACACACAGTGTGCAAGTAATGGCAGTCTAAGGTCAGTCACACACAGTGTGTGCAAGTAATGGCAGTCTCAGGTCAGTCACACACAGTGTGCAAGTAATGGCAGTCTCAGGTCAGTCACAGAGTGTGCAAGTAATGGCAGTCTCAGGTCAGTCACACACAGTGTGCAAGTAATGGCAGTCTCAGGTCAGTCACAGAGTGTGCAAGTAATGGCAGTCTCAGGTCAGTCACACACAGTGTGCAAGTAATGGCAGTCTCAGGTCAGTCACACACAGTGTGTGCAAGTAATGGCAGTCTCAGGTCAGTCACACAGTGTGCAATAATGGCAGTCTCAGGTCGGTCACACACAGTGTGAAAGTAATGGCAGTCTCAGGTCAGTCACAGAGTGTGCAAGCAATGGCAGTCTCAGGTCGGTCACCAGTGTGCAAGCAATGGCAGTCTCAGGTCGGTCACCAGTGTGCAAGGAATGGCAGTCTAAGGTCAGTCACACACAGTGTGCAAGGAATGGCAGTCTAAGGTCGGTCACACACAGTGTGCAAGGAATGGCAGTCTCAGGTGGGTCACACACAGGGTGCAAGGAATGGCAGTCTAAGGTCGGTCACACACAGGGTGCAAGGAATGGCAGTCTCAGGTCGGTCACACACAGTGTGCCAGGAATGGCAGTCTCAGGTTTTCGTGGTAGACACACATGCTACAAGTAATAAGATCCCTAATGGGAAGCAACTAAAAGGCAGTCTCCAATAGCCCAATAAAACATGGGATATTTCCACACTTCTAGTATCAGGCACACAAGATAAACCAGATTAAATATCACCAAAATCAAATATGGGCATTGACTGGTCTCTTCGTCCAAAACCCACGGTTCACAAGGCATCACTATGTCCAGGGTGGCCTGAAAGGTTCAATTCACACCTTCCTGCCACATGTGTCACAGTGGCCCTCATATTGGCCTTTGAAGTCCAGACCCAGCACGGGCCGCGCTTTCACCCAGTCGAGGGCTCTGGCTGTCCCTGAGTTAATTATTCCTGATGGATGTGGGTGTCAGATCTCTGGCTAATGTGCACAGGATGGGGTAAAGCTGAACTAACAACTTCAATATCATACAAATACATCCCCAAAATACACCATTTATAAACCCAACACACAGCTTCTCTACAACCTAAAATTTGAAGAAACAGACCCTTTTATCCCTTAAATTCCCAGCCAGGCTCCATTTTAAGAGACACATCCCAGGTATTTGAAAAGCAGGAGCATGGAATGAATGGCGTCTCTTACCTGCCCTCTCGTTGTCACCAGATGCAATATTAAGAGAAGGACAAGCATTGGGAACCTGGCCATCATTGCTCAGCACCTTCTCCCCACCGCGGGCTGCGAGTTGGCCTCCTATTCCCTCTGCAACGGTCTCCAAGCCCTGAACCAGAGGTGTCCCACTCCAGATTAAGTTCAGTCTGTAGGTCCTGGGAGCCAGGGGGGTTCAGAGATCTGGAGGTGGAGAGAGAGAGAGAGGACACTGAGGGAGGGGGACCAGGAAAGCCCACCTATGAATGGGAGCTCTCATTTATGCCAGTGATTGGCAGCTGGACCCACTGGAATGCAAGGAAAACAGAAAGGGGGGCTTGTTACCCAGCCTCATCCCGCAACTTGCACTGCGCACTTTTAGAGTGTGAGCTCCTGTGGCAAGGAACACTGAGGCAAAACTCAGGCCCTCACAAGAAACCAAGTTATTATTGCTTTCAGCCTTAAAGTAATTCACTGAAGTGTCAATTGTTGGGAATTTAACATTTTAGAACAAAATAGCCCAAACTGAAAACAAAGCTGGAGTTGGACAATTTTTTTCAAATCAGCTGATGGCCTGAAATTTGATGTAACCCTCTCAGTATTGTTTTAGTCAGCTTGAGACTGGAATTAATAAAAGATCAATATTTTCCCAGAATACAATGTTCTATGTGTTTTACACCCAGCTAGCTGGTGGAGTCCACTGTATGCCCATACCTGACAAGTGTCCCGATTTAGGAGAGACAGTCCCTATTCCGAGCCCAGATCCATTTGTACCTCTTTTCTAGAAGCTCCATATTGTTGGTGTGTCTGAGCGTATAACAGAGCTCCACAGCAATAATACTCCCAGTAATGTGTCTGAGTGTATAACAGAGCTCCACAGCAATAATACTCCCAGTAATGTGTCTGAGTGTATAACAGAGCTCCACAGCAATAATACTCCCAGTAATGTGTCTGAGTGTATAACAGAGCTCCACAGCAATAATACTACCAGTAATGTGTCTGAGTGTATAACAGAGCTCCACAGCAATAATACTCCCAGTAATGTGTCTGAGTGTATAACAGAGCTCCACAGCAATAATACTCCCAGTAATGTGTCTGAGTGTTTAACAGAGCTCCACAGCAATAATACTCCCAGTAATGTGTCTGAGTGTATAACAGAGCTCCACAGCAATAATACTCCCAGTAATGTGTCTGAGTGTATAACAGAGCTCCACAGCAATAATACTCCCAGTAATGTGTCTGAGTGTATAACAGAGCTCCACAGCAATAATACTCCCAGTAATGTGTCTGAGTGTATAACAGAGCTCCACAGCAATAATACTCCCAGTAATGTGTCTGAGTGTATAACATAGCTCCACGGCAATAATACTCCCAGTAATGTGTCTGAGTGTATAACAGAGCTCAACTGCAATAATACTTCCAGTAATGTGTCTGAGTGTATCACAGAGCTCCACAGCAACAATACACCCAGTAATGTGTCTGAGTGTATAACAGAGCTCCACAGCAATAATACTCCCGGTAATGTGTTTCGAAATCTTGTTAATTTATAACAAGATACATTGTTCTTGTTATAAATGAATTGTAGTTCTATGAATGGTTATTAGTAAGGAAAGCCCCATCCCTAAATGATTACCTCAATGTCCATATGAAATGTTGGGGGTATGTGTGGCATGGCGGAATGTCTGACACCTGCAGGGTTAAAATATAATATACTTTATTAAGGACCCAATGCTACATGAGCTGCTCATTGAAAATAACCTATATACCAGCATGGAATGTCCTGTTTATTAACCCTTCCTATACCAGCACGGAATGTCCTGTTTACTGACCCTTCCTATACCAGCATGGAATGTCCTGTTTATTGACCCTTCCTATACCAGCATGGAATGTCCTGTTTACTGACCCTTCCTATACCAGCATGGAATGTCCTGTTTATTAACCCTTCCAATACCAGCATGGAATGTCCTGTTTATTAACCCTTCCAATACCAGCATGGACTGTCCTGTTTATTAACCCTTCCTATACCAACATGGACTGTCCTGTTTATTAACCATTCCTATACTAGCATGGAATGTCCTGTTTATTAACCCTTCCTATACCAACATGGACTGTCCTGTTTTTTTAACCCTTCCTATACCAACATGGAATGTCCTGTTTATTAACCCTTCCAATACCAGCATGGAATGTCCTGTTTATTAACCCTTCCAATACCAGCATGGAATGTCCTGTTTATTAACCCTTCCTATACCAACACGGAATGACCTGTTTATTAACCCTTCCTATACCAACACGGAATGACCTGTTTATTGACCCTTCCTATACCAGCATGGAATGTCCTGTTTATTAATCCTTCCTATACCAACATGGAATGTCATGTTTATTAACCCTTCCTATACCAGCATGCAATATCCTGTTTATTAACCCTTCCTATACCAGCATGGAATGTCCTGTTTATTCACCCTTCGTATACCAGCACGGAATGTCATGTTTATTAACCCTTCCTGTACCAGCACGGAATGTCCTGTTTTATTAACCCTTCCTATACCAGCATGGAATGTCCTGTTTATTAACCCAACATGGAATGTCCTGTTTATTGACCCTTCTAATACCAGCATGGATTGTCCTGTTTATTCACCCTTCCTATACCAGCATGGAATGTCATGTTTATTAACCCTTCGTATACCAGCATGGAATGTCATGTTTATTAACCCTTCCTGTACCAGCACGGAATGTCCTGTTTTATTAACCCTTCCTATACCAGCACGGAATGTCCTGTTTATTAACCCTTCCTATACCAGCACGGAATGTCCTGTTTATTAACCCTTCGTATACCAGCACGGAATGTCATGTTTATTAACCCTTCCTGTACCAGCACGGAATGTCCTGTTTTATTAACCCTTCCTATACCAGCATGGAATGTCCTGTTTATTAATCCAACATGGAATGTCCTGTTTATTGACCCTTCCTATATCAGCAAGGAATGTCCTGTTTATTCACCCTTCCTATACCAGCATTGAGTATATTCGAAGCTTGGGCTTGTCACCAGTGGGGTACCTCAGGGATCTGTACTTGGACCCATTCTCTTTAATATTTTTATTAGTGATATTGCAGAAGGTCTTGATGGTAAGGTATGTCTTTTTGCTGATGATACTAAGATATGTAACAGGGTTGATGTTCCAGGAGGGATAAGCCAAATGGCAAATGATTTAGGTAAACTAGAAAAATGGTCAGAATTGTGGCAACTGACATTTAATGTGGATAAGTGCAAGATAATGCATCTTGGATGTAAAAACCCAAGGGCAGAGTGCAGAATATTTGATAGAGTCCTAATCTCAACATCTGAGGAAAGTGATTTAGGGGTGATTATTTCTGATGACTTAAAGGTAGGCAGACAATGTAATAGAGCAGCAGGAAATGCTAGCAGAATGCTTGGTTGTATAGGGAGAGGTATTAGCAGTAGAAAGAGGGAAGTGCTCATGCCATTGTACAGAACACTGGTGAGACCTCACTTGGAGTATTGTACACAGTACTGGAGACCGTATCTTCAGAAGGATATTGATACTTAGAGAGAGTTCAGAGAAGGGCTACTAAACTGGTTCATGGATTGCAGGATAAAACTTACCAGGAAAGGTTAAAGGATCTTAACATGTATAGCTTGGAGGAAAGACGAGACAGGGGGGATATGATAGAAACATTTAAATATATAAAGGGAATCAACACAGTAAAGGAGGAGACTATATTTAAAAGAAGAAAAACTACCACAACAAGAGGACATAGTCTGAAATTAGAGGGACAAAGGTTTAAAAATAATATCAGGAAGTATTACTTTACTGAGAGGGTAGTGGATGCATGGAATAGCCTTCCAGCTGAAGTGGTAGAGGTTAACACAGTAAAGGAGTTTAACCATGCGTGGGATAGGCATAAGGCTATCCTAACTATAAGATAAGGCCATCGACTATTGAAAGTATTTAGAAAATTGGGCAGACTAGATGGGCCGAATGGTTCTTATCTGCCGTCACATTCTATGAATGTCCTGTTTATTGACCCTTCCTATACCAGCATGGAATGTCCTGTTTATTAACCCTTCCTATACCCACACAGAATGTCCTGTTTATTAACCCTTCCTATACCAGCACGGAACGGCCTGTTTATTAACCCTTCCTATACCAGCACGGAACGTCCTGTTTATTATTCCTTCCTATACCAGCATGGAATGTCCTGTTTATTAACCCTTCCTACACCAGCACGGAATGTCCTGTTTATTAACCCTTTCTATATCAGCATGGAATTTCCTGTTTATTAACCCTTTCTATACCAGCAGAGAATGTCCTGCATATTACACCAGCAGTAGCCATTCCCCTTGAAATGATATGTAATCTGCTTATTTCCTTGTGATTTAAACACCTATTTATCTGTACCTGTAGACATCACGATACTGTATGATGCTTGGCACTGAAATATGCCAAGGGAATGGGTTTACCCTAAAATTAAGGGTGTTGGACATAAATCGTGAGAATAGAAAATGGAGTAAAAAAGCCCACATAGACTTAAATGTCCATAGGATAGAATGATTTGTCCTGAATAACATCAAATATGTCATGAAATGGTCCATTTAGTGTCATAGAATAAAATGGCACTCATGGCAAGTAACCTTGGACCTGCTTTTATAGAGTTAGATACGGCGCTCTTCCCTGAGCTTCGCCATTTATATTTGATATACAGAATGAATATTTTCATGCTGATAGAATATTGTCCATAAGTATACTCTGTGTATACTCATTGTGAGGTGTATTGTTTGTTTGTTTGTTTTGCTTTTCATTTGTGAGTATATTTAAGGTGTATATTTAAGGTGATTGGGGAAACAACTGTTAAACACTCTCACTTGTTTTACTAGAAGCGCCAACACACTGTGCAATCTCTTCTTGTGATTGGTGCACTCAATAAAGTTAAATGGTGCGCGTGACATGTGTGGCTAATAGAATAAAATGACACAAGTGGCAAGTTCTGCGTATTAGAACGCAACATGTGTGACTAAAACAATGATATGGACTGCGTGTTACATAATGCGGCTAAGATGCGATTAGACATATCTGTAATCGAGTCCCGGGACAGACTCCTCGCTGCAGCCAGAACCTCCTACAATGGGACCATAAAGCTTAATGATCAGTGTCCAATCCATTACTCATAGTGAGGCATTGAGGACATGTGGCACCATGGTCTGCCAGTCCAACCCCAACGTTATAAAATGAATTAGTATTCATAACAATCTACAGTATAAAACTGAAAAAAATCCTAATTTTAATAAGGACAGGAGGTGAATAATTTGCTTAACTTCCTTTATTTCACCACCATTGGAGCGAACATTTACAAAGCAACAAGAGAAACCAATCACAGAAAGCAAAGACGCAAAACACTGACCCTCTAAAGAAAACATGAAGACATAACAGGCAACCAATTACGTAGAACAATTCCAATTGTCCAGACGGCAACCGAAACGGACTTTACGCTTAAAGAAAAAGAAAGTCATGAAAGTATAATGGCATAGCAACAAATGTCATACTAATAACAGTCAATCAACTCCAACATGAAACAAAAATGCATATACATAATCGTCAAAAACCAGCATAAAACGTCAACTATACCAGTCCTGAGAGAAACAAGAGGATATGCTCAACCAGAGAAAAGAACATAACAGAAACACATAGAGCAGGAAAAAGAAAACAGCGGAATGAAGAGAGGAAAATCATTTGCCTCCTGTGATTATGAAAATTAGGATTATTAAACTAAAGCTAGAATAATTAGCAATTTTAATACATGACAGGAGGCTTTATATTTTACTTTTTTAATGCTTCAACAAAATGTGTAAAAGAAGCATGAGATGATGAGCGGAAATGAAACCCATGACAAGCCTCCTACCTGGTCCAGTCTGCAAAATGTAAAATGTTCCCCAAAGATGTACCTGACAAAAGAAAGAATACAGCTAACCCAATGGGCCAACATGGTCATCATGATGGGCCAACAAGGTTTGACATATAAAATAAGTAGCTGTCCTAACAGAGAAGCCCGAAGAGGAGAAGTGACCCAAACATAACACACACAAGCTTTATTCACACAAAGTCTGGGTTCGGAAAGAAAGAAAGAATATAAAACAAAAGTCAAATCCATCTTTATCCAACATGTAAAAGAAAACGTCTAAACGTCAAAAGGAAAAATCATCAACGTCAGAAGAGACACAACAGAAGGGTGAACTTCTCCGACAACAGACCAATCGTTTAGGAAGTGAATCACCAGTGAAACGTCCCAAAGGTGAGCAGATTTAGGTCTAGAAATATGTGAAAGATGGATACTGCACAACAAGCTACACACTAGAGGATCCTTCCCAATAGAAACACCCTGAGAAGGAACATGAGCTACTGAAATCGCTGAGTGGACCACGTTAACCGAGCGGTAAGATTCACCGTACAAAAAAGTTGAGATAATTTTTTTTAAAGACTACGGAAACAGGGACCAATTGCACCAGCATCGTAGGTACCATTGTCGTGTAGAAGCTCTCTAGTTTTCAATAAGCCTGAGACATCCTAGGAACCACAGAAAGAGTTCAAGCCACCAGAAGGAGGCAGTTTTGGAGAACCAGTGTGTGAGGATCCCTGTGATTAACCTGGAGAAGAAGGGGCTAGGAGAGGTCAGCGTAGGAGAGGTCCGAAAGCCATGGCTGGCTCTGCCAAAGGGGAGTCCCAATCACGTTGGATACTCCTTGGTTCCTATGGTGATGTAACATCTGGGAAATCAAAGTGAAAAGAGGGATCACTTAACTCTTCACTCTGGTCAACGCTGGAGAAAACACATCCACTGTGTATGTGGAGAAAAGTCTTCTGAACTGACCAAGAGCATTCACATTGGCCACCCCCTAGTGCAAAAGGCTGGTACCAGACTCCATCATAAAATCCAGATGTAAACTGAAGATGGCTCTGCTGTTTAATGCAAACACATGAAGCAACCACCAGACATACATCATCGGTATCGCCACCTGATCAAAAATGAGACACAGCTTCAAATAATCTGCCTTCAACTGTTTCATAGCACTGTAGTGGCCCTGGGAAGATCGCCTGAACGAACAATGACAGGAGACCCACCAGGCATGCCAGTTGTCAAAGGGGAACTGTGGTGCTGGATATCTTGGATGGAGAGAAGCAAAGCGTGCAAGAGAGGTCATCTATCTTAAATCCGAAGAACTGTATCGACTGAATCAGAATCAAGATGGTTTTGTCCCAGTTCACGAGGAAGCTCCGACACTACAGAAAAGAGATTAAAAGGTCTGTCTGCTCCCGGAGCCTGAGCTCGTCATCACAAAACAGGAGAAGGTTGTCTAGATATATGTTGCAGCCCATGCCCTGCAACCACCGATGGGCCCCGAATGGTTTCCGTAGTTTAGTGAAACACCAGGAGCCGAACTGAGATGGGAAAGATCTGTCCTTGTAAAAAAGTAGGGGGTTGATATACATGGGGGCCTGAAGGACAGAAATGGCTGGTGTTATCATGGCTCTGTCTGCCAGCAATGGGAAAAAAAAGATCATTGGAAGACATCTGTCGAAATACCTTCTTTAAAGGAGACTGTGCTTTATTAATTGTAATAAACAAATTAATGTGTTTTTGGAGTTCTTTCAGGAAGGGATTGCCAAACAGGTTGTCTTGGGACAAGGGACCCCATAGTCTGTAAGCAAGTTAATATATAGGACAGATAGAACAGGCTCAAACCACATAGGTAAATGTGTCCTCATGTGACACAGACCCTCTACTATCTTTATCTAAATGGATTCATGAAAGGGGAGACAAAAAGTAGACAAGAGCAATAGCTCTTAGTGAAGTATGTTAATGTTAAAGTGACAGATGTACATATACAAGTCCCCTGCTAACCTTCTCTAGAGCCCTTAGTCCTGACTCTAGGTAGAACAGCTTGTGTGTCACTTTAAGTCAAAGCTGGAGTTCACCAGATAATGTTGCTCAAATAGACAAATATTTATTCATCTTAAAATCACAATATGCTAAAAACAAATTAAAAGAAATATACAAAACAAAGTGTATGGTGCTTCAACCCTCTGAGGCGCCTTTCACAGTTTCCAGTGGATTTATCAATCAGTATCAAGTACTAATTATCAATGTATATACTCACAATGCAGATCACATATCTGCACTGTAGAAAATAAAAATGATTATTGAACTGAAATTGCTATTTGGATTAAATACCTGGTAACAGATCGCCCAGCACCCCGACTGGGTACCTCCGTTGAAGGATACTCCTAGCGCTTCCCGAGGGCTCCAAGCACTCCACCCGACACCATAACCACCGTGGACTCCTTCAGAGAGCAGGACAGGAACAAGCTCTTACAAGAACTTAGCAGTGAATATAGCAAGAGAGTATGCAGAGCATAGCAATCCCTTGTAGCAGATTCCCCCAATAAGAGACGGCACTCCAAAGGGTGAAGTAGAACTGAAGCTTTTAATCAAACACTCTGCTTTTATGCACATTTTACATACATAGTACTGCCCACAGGGTTTTGCAGAACAACCAATCAATACATACAATACACTCAGACACTCCCACACAAAATCCTCCCCTCTGCCTGTGATATAATTACTGAACACAATGGTCTAACTTAATTATCACAGGCAGGAAAATACACAGTTTTACACAATATTCATAACTCTAAAAGTATTACATCACATTCACATAAAACTTACATTTTAAGAATCACCATACTCCAAATACAAACATGCAACAAAATCATACAAATTGGTCCAGTGGGTCAAAAGTTAGTTGGTAGTCCCTTTGTGACCGTCTGCAAGCATGGCTTTAGTGTGGTAAGCCAATTACCGCCAGCATACAGAAAATAGCTCTATTCACAACAACAGTAAAAACACATAAAAATACATAATTCCTATTATACTTAACAGAACCCCCACATTCAACCTATCCCCAGATTGCTTGGATCTGAGCGCTCACTATATCCGAACCGCGCTCAGATACCACAACCACAGTCAAATCGCCATGGGGTTAAAACACAGCAAGAGCTGATGAGAGACTGAGGAGGGGCAAAACAGCAAGTTCCAACTGGTCTGGCAGTGTGCCTGGAACAACGTCCTGCTGGAACAATAGACAGGAAACGGGGGAGGGGAAGAGACACATCTTCCCATGGATTAAAATGGACAGAAACAGTCTTTTAGAAGCCAATAAGCCCCAAATAGTCTTTTTAAATGGCAATACACCCCAGGGCCATAGTCATGAGGGAGGAGGCTGGCAATCAGGCTCCTCCAACAGCCAGGGGCAAAGGGCAGCTTGTCACCTAACAATCCAGTTACAAAAGGCATTTTGTCACATACACTTTAATTCAATTAGCAGTAGCACTACTCAATTTGTCTCCCACATTAAAATTAGTGTATGACTCGCCGATATTGCGGTACAGTGGCGTAGTGGTGGGCTTATCATATGGTGGAACTGGATCCCCATATTTGTTTGTTGAGATAGGCGATTTTAAGTAGTCTTGTAAAAGTTGCAGTTTTGTGTTCCTTAAACTGTATTTTGACATGGTATCATCTGGCACTATGGGACTGTGACGGTAGCATCACCAGGGGTTTCATATGGGCACTATATGTAGGACCCTGGGATATGCCTATGTCTAAATCACCCTGCTTCCATTATAGGTGCAGGGTGTGTATTGTTTTATTATGTTTTGTGTGCTCTCCTGATGCTTGCTAGTAGGTGGATTTGCCTGTGGAGTCTTTACAGCGCCACCTGTTGGTAGAAACATCAATATGTACTACCTGAATAGCAAGGCTTGTTCGTTTGCATATTCAGATACATTTGCATATTATGGTTTCTGCAGGCAGGAGAGATATTTCATGTTAGTTATTGTCTTCTCCGCCACTTTATTAATATGTTTATATGTTATTATGAGTGCCTGTATGTTTCTTTACATAGTTTGGTTTTATGTATTTATTTGAGTGTGTCACCATAAGCTTTATGTAATTAGCATATGGGCTAGTGCCAAGTAAAAATAAAGCTTTGTAAGTTAGTAACTTTTGGAACTAGATCTTGTGTAAAATTTTGGGGATCCCAACCACAGAACTGTTGTACCTGTTGGTTGGCTGCACGATCCTTCTAGCCCTGGGATAAATTAAAAGAATTAGGCCTGAAAGTTGCAAGTACCTTTGTAAAGACAATAGAAATCATACTGCAGGGTGATACCTGCCTTGAAGAAAGACTGCAGTGGAATAGGCAGAAGGGACGATACCTGCCTGGAAGAAGGATTGCAGCGGAATAGGCAGAGGGGACATTAGTGTAGGACCCACCTAAGAGGTTTACCTTTATGTGGCAGGTGGGCTTGCATCTAATGGCCATTGGAGTTACTAAATAACCTCAATCTATTTAAATATGCATAGGGATTTAGGCTAGTATGCACGCAACTTTTTGTAAAATTTTTTTATTGTATGTAGAGGGGACGATACCTGCCTGAAAGGAGAGCAACAGCCTGGTCGGTTGGTTTAGCTCTAAAAGGACGCCAGTCAAGCTGTGGCTACTAGGGAACAAGCACTTCAGGTTTCCCGGTTCCAGCCAGGAAGTGAGCTTGGCTGAGGAACACAGTCGGGGAACAGGTGAGCTCCGTCACAGGGACATTCCACCTCAAGGCAATTGCGAACTTTGCTATCCAGTGGTTTCCTGATCCATAAGTGAATACACTTGATGTCACAAAGTAAAAACTCCAACATGCAGAGTTTAGGAGGGCAAGGGACGAAACAAGGAAATAATGTATTACCGAGCCTTAGAATGGCCGGACGTAACGTTAGAGATAAAAGCGTAGTCACAAACAAGCCGAGGTCAGGGTAACAGAGAGAAAGCGAAAATAAGAACTAGTCAGAGTCAGTCACACGGTAATCAGTCTAACAACACAGGAAAGGGTTAAAAATAAACGCAGGGTCAATAACAATGCGATGGTCAATACCAGAATATTACACAAGTAATTAAGGTACACACTAAAGGGTACTGGGAACAGAAGCCACAATAAGGCAAAGCAAATAGATGGGTTTTGTGATTGGTCCACATCATGCCTGCGACCTCAAAACGGCGAGGATGGTATATACATCCAGAAACATTTGGGACCCACTTATGGGTCCACAGTATGATCGTGGGAAATGGCACTATGGTGAGGCTCCTCCACAATTGACTCCTCCTCTAAAGAGGGAGTTGGATTTTGATCCGAGACCAGGAATATCCGGCTCTGCTTGAAAAGGTATGATTCTAGTCAAGCCAGTTTTATGAATGGGGAGTCACTGATTGGCTGAGAGTGTCATCTGACCACTCTCAGCCAGTTAGCAGCACCCCTGCCTGGCGGCACTCTGTGCTTCCTGAATCTGCAACTTTAAAAGCCGGAATCTGTCTGGGGGGAGTGGACATCGCTGCTGGAGATAACTTTACGGTTAAACCATTCAAGAACAAATTAACCCCTTGAGGTAAAAGTGCCTCCGTGGGCCTCCTGGCACCATAACAACTTAATTTAGATGATGTTGTTTTGGTACCTGGGTGTTCCTTTAATAACCCTAAATGGCAAGCTGGAGTTTTATCTGCTGGTTCCACTGGTTTCCATGGTGATTGCACCATTTCTCTTAGTAAATAAGAACACTTTTTATAACAGAATTATATTAAAACAGATTTTGCCAGTGTGCAGCGCCTTGTGAAACGTGTCGCACCACTGATACACATTATCCTCCAAGAAACATGATGTATAAGATATGTAGGGCGCGTGGACCCGCTGATATCCATAGGTAACACGACAGTAATTGAAACCCTCAACCCCTGCTCCTCTTCCCTTCTGTATCCTCCTTGCTATGCCAGAATTTAAGAAATTGTCAAATTGGAAAAATTGGGAGACGCAGACGCAAACCCATTGTAAGCCCTTAGGCGTGTACGCATCAGCATCCCATCTGGTGATGGGGTATCCCTATAATAGGCGGGTAGCTACAACCATTAACCTTGCACCAAGTAGCAGGAGAGTGCCTGCCAAAGTGTAATGATAACCGATTGTATCACAAATGATGAAACCATTGTACTACCTCAAATGAAAGTGTCAATGTTACATACAAACGCTGAGTAAAACTTGAACCCCTTCTCCCATTTCCTTTCTGTACCCCCATGTTTTGCCTCATGACAAAATCAAAATTGTCAAATTGAAAAAAATAAAATACAGATTTTGCGTTCCTTGCTTTCTCCAATTATACGTAGTTTTTCACACTTGCATAACTGCATTGGCTGTGCGCATGCACCATTAGTGGAAATATCTGACCAATCCTTTCAGTTCAAACGTTCCCCCCCAAAAAACGAAAATCATTGACAAATACTCATTGAAGAATACAGTGTGTACACCTTCTGATACCCCGTCCATGTCCTCACATGTGATATCTGTCAGGATCGCACCCTTTAACCAGGGTAAACGGTTTACCAGCTTCTCCATAACCAGAACCACCAGTGGCTCTTACTGGGGCCTTGTACCTCTGGCCTCAGGATAATTAACCAATCCATGGCTTTTCTCAAAGAACACATTAGACGCTTCTATTTACATTGCTAATAAACAAGGCACTGGCTTCACATGGAAAGAATGCAAGTGTAAGGATGGGCCACTAGACAGACAACCAGACAATTCAAATCTGATAAATTACAGTTCACATAAACCATCACCTGTTCCACACAACGTTACACCTACAGCAACACCGCACAATATACAATATGAAGGGTACATACAGCAAGGGGCATCACACAGGCCACAAGAAACATACAGAGTCTTCCATCAAAGATTCAGAGTCAGATAGTTGCAGGAATGTAATTAGAAAGTTTACTCGAGGAGACAACACTATATATTGTTATATTATGTTTAGTACTTGCTGTTTTCTTTTATCCCCATTAAGAGTAACACAAGCAAATCGGAATAATCACAATATAACAGCCCTATGAACAAAGAGCTGGAATGATACACTGATACCCTGGATGAGTCCCCTTAATTATTGTTTGGTTTTTGTTTTTAAAATTTATTCATGTAATATGTATTTTTACATTAAAAATGGAGGAAACATTTATCTAGCCCAAAGTGGACCTTTATACTCTGTTATGCAGTGCTGCAAGATTTATTGTAAAGTCTACTGAGACCTGCAGAGTTCGGTGATCAGTATACAGCGACCTGCAGAGTTCAGAAATCAGTATAGAGTGACCTGCAGAGTTCAGTATAGAGTGACCTGCAGAGTTCAGTATAGAGTGACCTGCAGAGTTCAGTATAGAGTGACCTGCAGAGTTCAGAGATCAGCATACAGCGACCTGCAGAGATCATTATACAGAGACCTGCAGAGTTCAGTATACAGTGACCTGCAGAGTTCACGGATCAGTATACAGTGACCTTGAAAATTCAGTGATCAGAGTTCAGTGATTACTGAACTCTGCAGGTCGCTGTATACTGATCACTGAACTCTGCAGGTCGCTGTATACTGATCACTGAACGCTGCAGGTCGCTGTATACTGATCACTGAACTCTGCAGGTCGCTGTATACTGATCACTGAACTCTGCAGGTCGCTGTATACTGATCAGTATACAGTGTGACCTGCAGAGTTCAGTATACAGTGACCTGCATAGTTCACTGATCAGTATACAGTGACCTTGAAAATTCAGTGATCAGACCTCTAGAGTTTAGTGATCAGTATACAGAGACCTGCAGAGTTCAGAATATAGAGAAATGCAGAGTTGAGTAAACAGTATAGATAAACCTTTAGAGTTCAGTGGCCCATTGATTATGAGCTTTAAACAGTTTGTGAATAGCATTTACATTCTTAACTCGCTCAAACATAAAGTGTCCGCTCATGAAATCACCCCCCTCTCTTCAGTGATTGAGAACCCGGAGGTTTGTGCCCCCTACCAGGATGTTAAGTGTGACCATCTTTCCTCCCTCATGATCTATAATAGACTGCATTTTGCAGTAAACCTTTACGTGCACTTTGCTGGTCGAACGTCACTCCGCACACTCCCTCCCAGGCCGAGCGACACTCCACACACTCCCTCCCAGGCAGAGTGACACTCTGCACACTCCCTCCCAGGCAGAGTGACACTGCACACTCCCTCCCAGGCAGAGTGACACTGCACACTCCCTCCCAGGCAGAGTGACACTGCACACTCCCTCCCAGACTGAGGCGCACTCCCTGCTAGGCCGAACGACACTCTGCACACTCCCCGCCAACCTGAGCAATAGCTCATGCAACAGATCTACTACTTTGTGACTAAATGCAAGACAGGACACAAGGGCTACAATCGCTGGTTTAATTGTAAATTCATAGCGAAACAGAGAAAAAGAAATCACAATCTGCATTTCATAAAGATTTCATACAAACCTCTGTAAACATTTCAAAAGGCAAATATTTTTCATTTTAGCAAGAAGAAAGTAAAGCAATTGAATTATAAAGTTATGAAATAATGAATGGATGGTGTGAAGTTCCCACCTAGCACCAGACAGAGGCTAATTCCAGAGTTTCTGCCTGAAGGACCATTATGGTAATTAAACGTTCTCCTTTTCTTCCCACCACCTGTCTAAAGAAATCGATGAGAGCTCAGGATTCAGGGAGCTCTGGCATCAGACTGGTTAAAAGGCCACAGGTATCAGGATATATTCTGACATATAGAGCAGTGGCACAGCTCAATGTTCTTTGTCACAGGTAGATACACAACATGTAGACATCAGCCTCAAAGAAATACAAGGTAGTCAGGAGTTTACTGTCCTCTCCGATCACCTGTTGCTCTGCAGTTAACAACCACTTTATGCAGAATTCCCGATTATCCAGTTTTCATCCTTAAATCAACCTTCTGCTTCATAAAACTCAGATTCTGTGTTTTTATCTTATAAAAATTCCTGCTTTTCCAGTAATTTGTCTGTTGAGATGTCTCCTGTATGAAGGGAATTTTCACTTATGTTCTCATGTTGTTTATTAGTCGTTTCCGGCAGATCTGGTTCTGAGTTTGAAAATGGAATGACCAAATCCTCATTTGTAGCTGAATCTCCACCAGTTTGAGAGAGTTCATCTGACGAAATGTGACCTTTACATGGACTATTTTCCAATTTACTTTTTTTTGCCATGGCTTCCTGGCTTTTAGGGTCATCCGTCTCAGCAGGTGGGGATGAGTTGTCTATATTGCAGTTTTGGGTCATTTCTAAGGAGAGCTCTTCGTCACTAGTTGAATCAGCCTTTTGGGGGACAAACTGATTCTCCTCATCAATCTTCCTTTTCCTGGGATCTACCTTTGGTTGATATTGTGTATTGTCCTCTACGGTATTGCCTATCTCTCCGCTGAACTCCGCCTCACCATTGTTTAAAAATGGGGTTTCCTTCTCTCCCTCCCTACAGCCTAAATCTTGCTTAACCTCTTCAGTAACCTCTTTATCAACATCCCTTTCACCTCTAGTTAATCTACTGATCTGGCCAGTGCTAGGGTTTCCATTTTGTTTTTTTGTGATGGAATTGTTGTCGAGCCCACCATCACGTGCTTGTTTGCTTTCCTTAATATTTTCACTACTTATCTCTTCTTTTGTGAGGTCTTGCTTTTCGCTCCTATTGTCCCTTGGCTTTTCCAAGCTACTGGTTAGTATATGCCCATCATCTTCGCATGGCTCATTGCTCTTACTTCCCTCCTGTTTTGCAATGTTGAAATTTTTTTGATAATTGTTCTCACTAGCGGGCTGTTGGTCGCTCTCCTCTCCTGCCACATGTTCATTGTGTTTTTTATACTCTTTGAGCTTCTCTATTGGGCCCCATATAAAAAGATTTTGGGGATCATAGTTCTCCCAGGCAAAGTGCACCAATTCTCGGCGTTGGTTCTTGTCTTTCACGGTAAACATGAAATAGTCCAAGGCGCTACTTTTAACATTCGGTAATTGCTTCTTACACAATATTTGTTTCAGGAAAAACCTGACTAGGGGAGCCTGGTAGTGCTCGAAGCCTAGCTCCCCTAAACACTTCAGGATTCGAGTGATGCGTAGGTTGTTGTGGCTGTGACTGAAAACAAGACAGAATGATACCATTATACATTCAATGGGCGCATTACCCCAAGCACACACAGTAATACAGAATCTTTTTAACTCACTAGTCCAGATTCTCAAATCTATCCTCCCAGTTATGAGCTAGATCCACCTCACCGGTGTCCTCGTTCACAAGCTTGATGCCGTAAAACCCGAGCATGAGTTTGTACGCCTCAACAAACCTGCGCATGGCTTCCTTATCACCTTTCAGCTCCTAGAGGGAGGCAGAGATAGTATAATGAGCCAGTGACAGGAGGCATGCCAACCATCATGGGTCAGTGACTTAAAACAAGTACCTTGATCTCAGCCACAGTTAGAGGCTTGGCTTTCCAGTTCATCCCTGGCTCGCGCAGAGGGAAAAGCCTGGAATAAAAGATATAGGCGTTAACAAGGATCCAATTAGTTGCACAGCAACTTTCTAGATGACGCACCCACAGCGGTAATATCAAAGTATACCGAATGAAATCAGGTAAATATATAACATTGTAATAATATTTGCAATATGATGGGCAATGCCACCTGTTACCTAACTATGACAGACTAGAGTTTAAATATAAAATAAACAACAGGCAAAAAGTATGAAACCAATACAAATAACATACTGGGCACAATTCCCTCTGAAATATCCGCAGGAACGGACCGTGGTTCATTAGTCAGACTTGAAAGATAGGCAAGGCATTGTACCCAAGCATCAAAACCATAACATTTTAATGATGGCCATATTCACATACTATGTAAATAAAACCTGCTGTTTCAGACAACACATGTTCAGTGACATCAGACTGGGAGCTACCAGAGCTTTCAAAAATAAACTTTATCCAGTCTGTTTCTACACAGCTCCGTGTCTGAACCTTTTTATCCAGTCTGTTTCTACACAGTTCCGTGTCTGAACCTTTTTATCCAGTCTGTTTCTACACAGCTCTGTGTCTGAACCTTTTTATCCAGTCTGTTTCTACACAGCTCTGTGTCTGAACCTTTTTTTGTCCTGAACGCTCTAGTTTTTATAAAATAGATAAATAAAATTAGGGACTACTAGCATTTCTCATGTATAGTAGTCATGCTGACAAAATCTGACAGCTTAAAGCAAGGTCCCGATTCAGTTGCCAATCAATTTTACCCACAATCAATGAGTAAAATCAATCACAGAGAAGGCAAACTGCAGGCATCATGGACAGGGGTGAACAAAATGGCTGCCCCCAGTTACTGAGTCCAGCACAAGGGGGAAAAGATAATATATATATATATATATATATATATATATATACATACACACGGGTAAGTGGCAAAGGGGTAATGTAATCATTATGAAATGGGGGGCATTAGGAAAGGAAATCTGAAGGAAAAAACAAAAACACGATAGTGCCGCTTTAAGATATTCAATCTTTAAAGGTCTTCATATGCATCAAAATACGACGCCAAACGCTTTAAATGCTTCTAATAGAGAGCAGTGATTGGTAGAAATGATCATTCATAAAGATCGGTTTACAGTATGTATTGATCCTCCCCTCTCTCCTCTGATTGAAATAAAGAGGATCTTCAAAATTCAATCCCTTTAACAATAGATATATTTATATCCTGTATCGTACCAATCACAAAGGTTTTCGCTGATTAATTCCTCCCATGCCAGCAGGTATAAAGTACTCACCACTGTATGTAAGAATGATTCTCCTCTAGTAATTCATAATTATCTTTCCATTTCTCAAGTATCACATCGATTTGTTCTCCTGCATTTAACACAGAAACAAGACAAGGAAGGTCAAATAGAGAGCTATAAACAGAACGAAAATACAATAGCGGGTTGTGCTCATTAAAGAACAATTAATGTATGTAATTCTGAAGACACACAGTGCCATCAATGATAAATCCTCATACGTTAACCCTCTGTGTGCCTGAGACACTCAATCCCTTGCAGCGGACACACTCGCTATTGAAAGGGTAAAATGGTTATTTTGTATTTTATTTTGAACATATATTAAATATACTTACAATGCCACCATTTTACTGTTTTGTTGTTCATGTATGATTATTTATATAGCGCCAGCATAGTCCACAATGATTGTTCACAACAATTTTGCCTCATACGGAAACAACGTTTAGATTGTGTGTTACTGTGGCTTTCATTTATATTGTTTTACTTAAAGAAAATGGAATTTATGTTTTAATTCAACACACAGTCAGGTTGAAAGCAATCATGTGCTAACAGAAACAGGACCCACGGAGGGGGAGGGTGTTTGTTTTCAAAGTTTGCAAGTGAGAAATCTTGCAGTTGGGTGACAGACTGAGTCAATGTTCAGAAATTTCCAATTTAAAGTTCAAATTAATGAATGAAATGAGGTTGTGCTAAAAAAAATGCTAATTAGAAGCAAGAGTGGATGTAGCATTAATGAATGGAATATAATGCAGGTTACATTAATTAATACTGATTAATAAAATGGTCTGTAGGATGCTGACTCGACTCAGGCTTCTTTACAAAGTATGAATAGCAATCTGGAAACGTTTGTCTCTCACAGGCACACTTAGAGAGTATGCGTCTCTGCCACAGCCATCTTTTTGATACTGAGTTTACACTAGTCTGGAGAAATGGCTATTAATAATTTAAAGTAACTAGATTTTAACATTACAGTGTTACTTTTCTGTTTAGTTTCAGGATTACCCCTTGCTCTAAATAGAAAATAAAGATAAATCGCCATATAATATATCTGTAATCTAGCGCTGGGTTAGTCTCCACAGGGCAGGCGCTCAGCTTTCAATGACTATCAGTTTTGATTGAATATAATTTGCGGCAAATCATTGCTCTCCACCAATCGGACATGCTCAGTGTAACCATGCTGTGAATAGGTCTAAAGGAGGAAAGAGCTGCAGTGACTGGCAGTCTGATGCGTCTCTCAGTGTGTTCTAAGAACAATGACTGACAGTGTCCAAATAAAGAGACAGCATCTTGCAACAAAACCTCTACATTAAAGGGACACCGTAGTCACCAGAACAGCTATAGCTTAATGTAGTTTTTATGATTTTGTATAGCCTGTGCATGCAGACTTTTTAACGTAAACACTTAAATTACTGCCTAGAAACACCTCTAGTGGCAGTCACTCAGATGGCCACTAGAGGTGTTACCTAGTCCAGCACCTACGTACAGGGTCTCCACGCTCTGAAGGCGCTGAACAATCCCCATAGAGATGCATTCATTCAAGAGGAGATGCTGACTGGTGCAGTGCGACATTTTGCAACATGCGCAATAGACTCCCAATGCTTTCCTATGGGAAAGCATTGGTTTGTCAGAGATCGTCAAATCTGATTATCCGAGCCATGACGGCAAAGCGGGGAGGAGCCTCTTGTGGCGAGACCAGAGAGGTGTTTGAAAAAAGGTGAGTTTAAACACCCTTTTTTAAAGTAAAGAGATGGGACCAGGCACCCAAACTGTTATTTTACCACTATAGTGTCAGGAATATACGTGCTTAGTGTTCTGCAAAGCAATATAAATAAAATTTGCATAATCTTTCCTGCTTTTGATGGAAGATGTAAACGCCAGGAGCATTTCCAGGTGTTTTGTACTCACCGCATGGCTTGAAAGATCGCTCATTCCGATAAAAAGCGAGGTTTGGCATTTCCATTGCGCTCTCGTCCTATTGGAGAGATAGGATTAGAAATGATTTGCCAAGGATAACAACACATCATTTGCAGTTTGCGTTCCCAGTAAAAACTACATATCATGAGGCTAGAAGTAAACTGTCCATTCCTGAGATATGTTAGAATGCGGCCTGAATGTAGAAGTCCACATCTCACTATTCACCTCTATAATAGAACAATAATCTCCTATAAATCCCAATGAATCAAAATATTCTAAAACACTTAATTATCCTGGTTCTAACTTTCTAATCTCCCAAATAAAAGCAGCAATTCCCCCGTAAAGAGTTAAAAATTAAATATGTTGTTCTTTTTAGAACTATATTCTATATTAGGACGTGCTAATACAAAAAAAAAAAATCTATCTTTTATGAAGAGTTGTATAATTAAACATTTAAATACAAGACGAAGATCTATATATTAAAATTGCAACATGCTGTAGCGGTTATGGTGTTTGGAGTATTCCTTTCACATTCCCAATACAAAACCTTTACAGAAATACAAAAAAAACAACACACAAATAAATCAGTGTGTGTGTTGTTAGCCAAATACAAGAAGCCTTCATGCATAAACACAAATCATTTAAATAAACCATCAGAATGAAACAATCCTACTGTATGTAAATGTAATTAACCTGTTTTCAGTCATCCTTTGATTCCTCATTATTCTTGTTTACAGTAATAATCAGAATATAATTTTGATTTCGATACACTAATGGTAATTAAGGATACTGTGACACTGTTGTGAATAGGATATGGACCAGTGCTGAATCCAGCCATTACAGAGACTTATCTGGGAGAAACCGTCTTTTATTTAAACATTGGACCTCATAGAACAGTGAATAACGCAGTCTGTGAGGGCGGAGGACTTCTCTGGATATAGTATAAAGAGTTAAAGCTCATATTGAGGCCAGAGCTGAAACAGTTCACAAGGCAAGCTGTGAATATTGTACCCGCTCGCCGTGTGCTTAGTGTCTCCATAACCCAAGACCTTACTGCAATTTGCACTGCATGTCACTGGAAAGGCCTACAAGAGTTTGCAACAGTGTATGAGTTCAGATAATCACTCTGATATGGTAAACTGTAGGTCTCCTTGCAGACAGTCTGAGAGGGACATAGATTGTATTCTTTCTGGCTCCTGTGAAAAACACAGTTCTAAATTTGTAAGCAGTGAAACAAGCATCATTTACAACGGTGACAAGTAAGCATGTAAACAAATGGTTAAGTCAGCAGTGATTTGTATGAAGATTAAAGCGAGGCAGTGCTTTAAATCTCCTGTCGACTACCTGGATCTGTGTGGACTCAGGACTCAGACACTGGTAAAATGATACAAGACACATGCGCAGGAAAGCTACGAAAGCCAGCGGTCTCCAGCCTGCCATACCTGGGACCCACATACAGAGCCAGATAGTTCCTTTAATTAGCTTTCTGAACAATGAATTGTCCTGAAAACACACAGAAAAAGACTTTTAAAATAATTCTTAAATACGTTTAATGCCAAGAGAACTCATCCTAATCATTTGATCATTATTGAAAAATTAATTAAAGGGTATTTTCTCTCAATTCCCCCATCCCCAACTCCCAGCTGTCACAGACGGTCAGGCAATACGAGCAAGAGAGGATTACATTATAATTAGTAAGATTGCGACTGTTTGGGTAGCCATTCCGATACTTCCGCAGGTCCTTGGCAGCTCTTCGTCGCCGTTCTTGCTTATAATACTGTAACATAAAGAAAGAGAAAGAAAGGAAATTTAGAAACACAGTTAGGAGTAAGACATGGATCCCACATTTACTGGACAGACTAACAGAACCATTCTTTGGTCATCTGACCTCTTTGATCCCAAAATAC